TTTTAGATTTAGGAGGACTTGACAATGGTCAGGAAAACCTGAACTTTCATCCAATTTTATCCCCAAATAGTATTCAGACTTAGGATATTTAAGAACTGCTGTATTGAGCCTTGTCCACCCAGGGGGTGATAAAAAAGGCAGGGAGAGAAAAGAGAGGTAAAGCACAATCCCAGCACTGACTGAAATGAAAGTCAGAGATAACTTCAAAATTTCCTATTTGGAAAATTATTGGTACCCTTCGTTCGTCTGGAGATGCTTAAAAATCTTGATGCCCTTGACATATTTAAGATGAGTTAAATCAGAATTTCTGAGGTGGGACCCAGGCATCATTACTCTTTATAGCCACCCGGCATTCTCAGCACATTAAGCTGGAGAATAACTACCAGAGTGAAAACAAGAAAACCCAGCAGGATATTGACATGACCAAGGAAGGGGAGAGTATAATCCTAGTCACACGGGGAGTTTAAGTTTCCAACAGGGCATCCAGGAGGAAATTAAAGACTGGATCTCAGGAAGGACAGAGCAGGATTTTGGAGTTATTCCTGCACTCAATGAATACCCCTTCAGGTCTGTTAAGCACCAGGATCTGCAGTCTAAGGAACAGCTTTCTGGTTCCGGTGAGGGACTTATATCTGGGGGAAGGGAACAGATTTCTCAGCAACTGAGAAGTAGAAAGTGATGTAGCCTTTAAGATGGAATCTGTATCTGGGTCAGGAAAGAAGGGTTCAATGCTCTTGAGAGTGACCAGAAAAGGCTTCATAAAGAAGGGACAAGGAGGTGTGCAAGTTCCAAGCCAGCCTCAGCAACTTAGTGAGATTCTCTCTCAAAATAAAAATAAGGGCTTGGTGATGTGGCTAAGTGGGAAAGCACCTGGGGGTTCACTCACTAGTACAAAAGAAGAGGAAGAAGAAGGGACAGGGAGAGGGTAGGCTGTGGGGAATAGAGAAAGGAAAGGGAGGCTGTAGGAGCTTATGAAGCTTGCTTAGATACAGCAGACCAGAGAAGAAAATGGAACCAGGTGAAGATCTTTGAGAACTAGCAGAGAAAAAGGCAGGTAGGCTAGAGAAGTGCCTGCAGGTAAGGAGGCGCTCAGCACAGTAGCCCAGGGAGGTCAAGGAGGATAAGGATGGCCTTGAGAGTTGATGCTCACATAACCAGAGAAGTCAGTTTCCAAATGGGACAGCTGGGGGAGAGACACTGGATACCATTTGGAATTGGACCCTTCTAAAAAGTAAAGGATAACTGGAAGGCTAGAGAAAAGATTGTGGGTAGAGTTTGGGGAGCACCTTTAAGCCCTGAAACAGAGAATCCGGAGGAGGTGCCCTATAGTAGGAAAGTGGCCTCAAGCTATTTGCACTGCATTCTCCTAGTGTGGAGCTGGATGGTCTTGGGTCAAGTCACTTCCCCTTCCTCTGGGTGTCACTATTTCATCTGCAAAATTATAAAAATAGACACTTATCGGGTTTCTAAAGTCACATACTGCTCTAATCTAAGCATTTTTGTGGTTAAAAACAGCATCAAGTGAGAGGACAAAAATTACTCTCAGCTGCATAAATCGTGACGGTGAGTCATCTTTGCCTTCTACACATGTGCACTCTCCATGTCTGGTCACCTCACTCTAAGGGCACCACCCACTATGGCCCATTTTTCTCAAAGTGAGTGTTGGTGAAAGGTACCCTCTATCATTTAGGGATGCAAAAGGTGGTGTAGCACAGTTATTAAAGCCACACGTTCTGAAATCAGACAGTCCTTCGCTAGGAGTGTGACTTTGTGAAAAATCACCCACTTTAATTTTTCTAATCTGTAAAATAAAGTAGCAATGGTTCTAATCTCATGAAGTTATTAGGGGATTACGTGAAAGAATGCATATAATGTATTTAGAACACACCTAGCTTGTCCTAGCAAAGAAAACATTAATGTTCTTAAACAAGTGCATAAAAAAGCAAGACCCTGTGCCAGAAAAGTATATGACTTCCCTGTTGTTATATTCTTGGAGAGTTCTTCCTTTGAATCAAACAGATCATTTTTGAATAGTAAAATGTCACACTCGATGTTTTAGTCAGCTTTTTCGCTGCTGTGACTCAAAGACCTAACCAGAACAATTGCAGAGGAGGAAAAGTTTATTTGAGGGCTCACAGTTTCAGAGGTCTTTCAGAGGCTGGCTCCATTCCTCACAGCTGGAGGTGAGGCAGAACATCATGGCAGAAGAGTGTGGCAGAGGGAAGGCACTCACATGATGATCAGAAAGCAGAGAGAGCCACACCCAATTCCCATTCTCCACAGCCACAGTCTACCACTTCAGTTACTACTTGGTTAATCCCTATCAGGGAATTAATCACTGATGGGTTAAGACTTTCAAAACCCAATCATTTCTCCTCTGAACCTTGTTGCAGTGTTTCCCAGTGAGCTTCTGGGAGACATCTCACATCCAAAACCATAACACTCAATAAACAAATTCAACTAATTGTAGTAATATAAGCTCCAGAGTCAGACCACCATGATTCAGACTCTAGCCAAGCTAATGATTGGCTTTATCTTCCTGAATTTCAGACTGTGCATTTTGTAAACATAAGGTTAATACTACCCAACTACCACGACTGTAAAGACTAATTTAAGACAGATTCTCAGTTTCAGGCACTAAGCACATTTTAAGTGTTGTTTGTTTCCACCTAGTATTGTGACTTACACACAAATAAATGCTTAGTAAGTATTCTTGGAACTGAAATTGTGGTAAGATTCTGCTCTGGGAATCCAGGCATTTTACTAGTGTTTTTCTCTAGGATTCTGCACCTTCTCTGAACTCAACTCATCTGTGAAATCTATTCTTGGTTCCCAGACCACATTAACATTGACTGGGTTGATTTTTCAACCCAGACCATATTAATAATCGACTGGGTTGATTTCCACCCCTCAGGAGGAGGGGGATCACCGACAGAGTGGCAGAGAACAGAACGAGATAAGGTCAGGTACCACAACACCCTGGAGGGCACAGGGAGAGAGGAAAGTGTCTGCCCAGAAATAGCTGAGGTAGAACACAGACTCATCTACCTAGGTTCTGTTCACCTAGCCATCATGTCCAGAATTCCCTCCTTGCTGCTGTTGTCTTCTGTCCTGGGTGCTTTGATCCTGCCATTTAAGGAAATCAAACAAAGGGGAACACACACACACACACACACACACAAAACAAACCTTCCACATAGAAGTAGCAGTGTTAGGTACAATGTCTATGTGGATGTTCAATTCCTTCCTAATTCTCATTCCTTCATGGAAAGGCAATGACACCAACACATGGCTAACCTAAAATTGACTTTCTCTTTTAAGATTTGATTGTAGACTGCAGAGAAGGCAAAATATTTTGCTAGAGGCTATAACATGAAATACAGAGTAGGCTGGTGATGTCACAAAAGAGGTCTTCAACAGTGTCAGCAGAGACTTGCAGTGATGATTGAAGTTGATAAATGGCACCATGTGAAATAGCTAGTTACCCCATATGAGCAGGTGGAGAATATTAGTTATAGGTAGGTCAGAGCTCATTATGAGAAATACCAGCACAAGAAAGAATGCTTCATTCTAGATTTTGGAGTCTCAGGTATTTACTCACTTATGTCAAGAAAAAATGGAAACAATAGAATTAGAGATCTATGAAAAATGTTAGCCTCTTGGCAGCGCCTAGCAATTGGTTTTGAGCTCTATATTAAAATATGTCAGACCAAGTCCCACAGCTCTCCCTAGTCACCATATCCAGTAGCCACAGGCTACCACTTCAGTTGCTACTTGGTTAATCCCTATCAGGGGATTAATCACTGATGGGTTAAGACTTTCAAAACCCAATCATTTCTCCTCTGAACCTTGTTGCATTGTTTCACCAGTGAGTTTCTGGGGGACACCTCACATCCAAAACCATAACACTCAATAAACAAATTCAATTAATGATAGTAATATAGGCTCCAGAGTCAGACAACCATGATTCAAACTCATTTGTGAAAATGAGTTCCCAGTTGACCTCAGGGAGCAAGATCCACAGGCACAAGTAGCCCATTTTATGCCTAACTGACATGGCCTGCAGAGGACCCACTCTCTACAAGCTCCCCCATAGCTCACTGGAGATTGTAAACATCACTAATCCAAGGTTAACTGAATGCAAAATCCAAGAGAGAAATTCGGGTTCTGCGAAAACCGCCAGAAAGGGACTGGGCTTCTCAAATTCAGATTTACATTCCAAAGTAGCCCTGACGCCAAATCCCTTCCAGAGCAGAAGGAAAGTCCCTCTATTCTCCGGAAAACAGTTCCTAGGAGAAGGTGTTAGAAACCAAGATCTCTTATGGTGGCGCCCTGCGGTTCCCCTTGGAAACAGGAGAGATACAAGGGCGCCGCTTGGGAGAACCCACACTGGTTTTCCAACAGGTCTTCTCTCATCACCCGCCACTTTAAAGGACAGCCACGGCTCGGCTCCCCTATCTCTATGGCAGGGCGGCAGTGGGATGTATGTATATTTCTAGTCATTTATTTTTTTTCAATGGTTAAAGATTTTATGGATGACTTAAGCGGTTTATGTCCTTTCCTTAATTCTGACAATAATCCCGAGGCTCGTGTTATTAACCCTGTATTTCCTTGCCTACAAAGGGCGGAGAAAAGGACGCAGACAAGGGTGGCAATCCGCCCAGGAAGCGGTGGGAGCAGAGCCGGGGTCTCCACCTCCCACTCGGGGCTTCTGCCTGCCTGCCTCGGAGTAGCCCGCCTGGGTGCGGGGCGGGCGCCGTGTCCCTCCCGCGGGCTCCAAGCGCTGGGCGGTGCCCGCGGCCACACCTGATGCGGGGAGCGCCTCGCAGGGCGCGCGCTGCAGGTGCGAGGTGCGCCGAGACTCCGCCCCGCGCCCCCGCCCCGAGCCGGGTACCCCGCAGCGGCCGCAGGACGCGCCGCCTCCGCCCGCGCCCGCCAAGAGGAGGAGCCACGGGCACCGAGCGGGAGGAGTCGGGAGTCGGAGGGCGGCGGGCGGAGGCGGATTTCCTGGGCCCGGCTCTCTGGGGCCACTATGGCGTTTGGGAAGAGCCACCGGGATCCCTACGCCACCTCCGTGGGCCAACTCATAGGTAAGGCGGCGCGGGGAGACACGCCCGGGCGGGCGGGCAGGCGGGCTGTGGGGATCGCGGGGTCTGTCCCCGCTCGACTCCATTCTCGGCCTGCGGAGGACGGAGTTGATCCCAGTTGGGGGAGATCCTTCCGCCCCCATCCCCCCAGCTTTCCCAGGGCACCCACATTCCACCAGCCCCCTTCCCGCGTTACTTTCTGGGCCAACTCACCTTGGAACTCCTTTTCCCCAAATTCTCTCTCTTTTGCTGACTTCTGGGTAGTGGAACCGAACAGGTGAACCCCAAGGCTTTGGCGTGGTGTGTTGGGGCCTCTACCAGGAGAGGCTGGAAACTTGTTTGACTAGAGGAAGGTTATTCAACAAGTGCGTTCACCCGTGGGCTGTTAGGCGTGTAGTGTTGTTCCATACTGTTATGCCCATTTTGCAGATGAGGGAAAGATGTGATCTCACTGTGAGAGGCTCAGCAAACCTGAGCTGTCTTTTGAGGTAAACAAAGAGAATGAAAATGCTTGGCATTGGAGTAAAGGGAGGAAAGAGGAGAGGTGTTAGCTGGAGACACAACTGGAGACAAGAAGAAGGCCTTTCTGAGACCAGGGTGGGCCGCCTAGGCACCGTCCTACCTCTTTTTATCTCCAGTGGCTATCCTCTGAATTATGTAGGTGTAAGCATAAGTCAGTGATTGGACTCTTCCCAACACCACGTCACTTCTCCCTCTTTTTCTTGATTCCTCCCCTTGGGAACGGGGTGTGGCACCCTGGCATATTAAAGGCAGACAGACTGTCTGTTGGGAACTTAGTGGGATGATGAAATCGTGAGAACCTGGTACTTGGAGCAAGAAGGCTCAGACTTGCAAGATTTGGGTTACAGCACACCTAATTGCTGTGTGACACAGAACAGACCACTTACCCTGAACCTGAGTTTCCACATCTTTATGGGACCAGGCACCCCAGCCAGGCTAAATAAGACATGGTCTCAAGCTTCAGGGAATTCACTTTCTTTTATTTTTAATTTTTTTTCCAGTAATGTGGATTGAACTCAGGGAGACTCTACCACTGACCCACATCCCCAGCCCTTTTGATTTTTTGAGAAAGGATTTTGCTAAGTTGCTCAGGCTGGTCTGGGATTTGCAATCCTCCTGCCTCAGCCTCTCAAATCACTGGATTACAGTCATGCACCACCACACTCATCTGATGGGAACTCACTTTCTTATAGGGCAGACAAGTTTGTAGTAACTTCTGTATGATACTTTTAGAAGAAAAATATAATATAAAACACATAAAACCTATGAAAAGGGAGAGATGAACCCTGTCGGGGTCTTTGAAGGGTGAATAGGAGTTTCTAGGAAGATAAGGTTGGGAGAAGAGCAAGGAATGGAAGGAGACATCTGATAGATGGGACAACCATATATGCCTGACAGTGCAACGTTGCTCACCTTTGTTCACTGAGTGCCAAATTCTAATAGCTCTTTTCCTGGGTGGGAAGCAGGCTAAACTTGGGGGTTCTCCCAACCAAGTCCTTATTCTTCTTCCCCTTCTTTAGTCTTTTCTCGTTGTTTTGTCTTCATTTTCCTCAAAAACGATGTTATTTTCATGCTTATGGATCACACCTTTCTCCAACGAAGATATTAAATTCATTCATATAGGGTATTTCCCTTCCTAGATAGCATTTTGTTTGAGGTACTGGGGATCAAACCCAAGGCCTGGCACATGGTAGGCAAGCGCTCTACCACTGAGCTGCATCTTTAGCTCTTCTTATTCTTTCTTTCTTTTTTAAAATACATATATATATTTTTAGATGTAGATGGACACAATGCCTTTATTTTATTTGTTTATTTTATGTGGTGCTAGGGATCCAACCCAGTGCCTCATGCATGCTAGGCAAGTGTTCTACCACTGAGCCACAACCCCGGCCCCTTATTCTTTATTTTGAGACAGGTTCTTGCTAAGTTGCCCAGGCTGGCCTTGAACTTGCCATCCTTCTGCCATGGCCTCCCCAATAGTTGGGATACAGTCATGCACAATGACACCTGCTTTAACATTTGGTATTCTTGAAGAGAATGTCTGGAAAAGGGAAAATATCTGATTATTTAACGATGGGGTTCCAGGTACAGTCTGCATGGAAGTCTGCCTGTGGTAGCTTTGATAGTATAGACTAAAAGTGGTCTTGCTCAGTCATTCTGTTCTCTCTCCCTTTTTCTCACCCCCACCTAACAAATGATTTTAAAAAACAAACAAACACTGAGATCAAGCAATTTTGGATTTCAATATAAGTTCTACCTCCTACTTGCTCTGTAACCTTGGGTAATTTCCTTAACCTCTCACAATTTGTTTGATCATGTCCAACAGTGGGTTAAATGGGATTGCAAAATAAAATACTTAGCTCTGTGTAGTTCCCCTAGTAGGCGGCTGCTGAATAAGCTCTAGTGCTGTTCTCTGAAAGTTGGGCAGATGGAGATCTAGCTGGCCTGCTTTAGTCCCGTAGCCAGGTGTTATGCTTGCAATCTTCATTAATAGGTCACTCATTACTGTTGCAACAGCAATACTCTGAACTTGAGTTCTGAGTGATTCCTGAATTACTGAGGATTGTTCAGGGGAAAAAAAAGGAGTCACTTTGCCCTATATAAACTTAATGGTACTTGCTGTTACACCCTGGGGCAGATTATTTAAGGGAGACATTTTTTACTCTGTTGTAACTCAGACTCAACACAAGCAGCTTTTTCTTTGCAGAAAAGGCTACATTTGCTGGAGCTCAGACCGAAGACTGGGGCCAGTTCATGCACATCTGTGACATAATTAACACTACCCAGGATGGGTGAGTTCAGTGTGGTGTCCAAGTCTTTACCTTTGATAAGAAGCATCAGATCTATAACATGTTTTTTCTTGCCAACTCTGGTTTTCTTATTGAAAGAGGATTTTTATCATCCCTTAGGGACCCTCTACCTTTTAAAGATGTCAGGTTTTGACTTATTGGGGCAGTTCTTGCTGGGACATGTGGAATATCTGAGAATCCATTGTAATTTTTTTCCCTCTCCTCTTTCAGTTTTCCTTAACAGTTTCAAATTTTGTCTCTGAGAAACTCCTTGTTTTTAAAAGATTAAAAAAATATATATATATATAAAAAGAGATAGATTGTTTCCTTCCTTAGGAATTTTTTCTGCTCTGATTGCCAGTATTTTGTGTAACTAAAAAATATTATCCAGAAACTGGTTAACTCCTGGTGGTGAACAATCTCTGGACATTCATCTTTATAACCAGGAAATGATCTAGCAGTCTTTTTCTTCCTTGTCATGGGACAGGTTGCTTTGTTTTGTTTTCTCCTTAATGCCAATATAGCCATGTTTGTGCTGTGTATATTTTAAATAATGGATGCTACTTTTTTTTATATACTTTTTAAACTTTAGAGAATTGAAGTTATAAGAGAAGTTATTAAAAAGGGCCTACATGGGCTAGAGTTGTGGCTCAGTGGCAGAGCACTTGCCTAGCAACATCGACAATTGAAAAAAAATATTAAAAAAAAAAAAGAAGGGCCTACTAGTTTGAATTTAGTCAGCTAAGGTTATTATAAAAGACACAATTCCATTAATTTTCTTATAGGTATTCAAGTGACATTTGACAGGAAAAGATGTAATCTAGCTCATGTTGAGAAGAAGACATGACAACTTAATTATTGATTATATATTGATGGAAAGTACTATGTCACCATCACACTGTTCATGATTTTTTTTCTCTATAATCTTGTTTACCATGTTTAGATCTTCTGTGAAGCTTTTCATTGATACGACCAATTTCTTCACTGCTAATACATAAGGAGACTCTAGTAAATTCTAGCCCTCTATTTATAGTTCTTCCTTTGTAACATGATATTGAGGCATCTCAGAAGCTGACCTCATTTGCTGTAATTCTTCCACCATCCCTTTGCCTAGAGGGTGCTCAGGAAATGCCAGTTGACATTAAAGTGGTAACTTTCATTGATTGTCTTGGAAGTTAGATTTCCTGTAAACTGGTTCTGTGTATTGGTAGAGGAAATGGGTATAAGCATATTTCATGAGTAGTGCTTTCTGGGTAATACTCTTAGGTAAATATTTTGATTCCCACCATAAGGTAGGTGGCATTGTCTGATTGTATCCATGAGGGGAAATTTAGGTAAGAGAAGGTACATGATCTCCTGAGATGGCAAACCAAAATCAAGGCCTTGGTCTTCTGCTCCTTAGACATTTCTGTTTGCACAATGCATATTGGTTTTCAGAAAACAATTTGCATGCCTAAATTGGTGATTTCTATGTTTATTGCTATAGGCCAAAAGATGCAGTGAAAGCTTTGAAGAAAAGAATTTCCAAAAATTACAATCATAAAGAAATCCAACTTACCTTGTCGGTAAGTACTTGAATGTTCTAAGTAAGATTCTAGGATTTCCCAAGTTATAATTACATTTTTAATCCTGGGTTTTAAAAAAATCTATCTATCTGTGTACACACACACACACACATACATACACACACACACACACAAATATTCTGAAGTAACAATAGGTTAGCAAAATTTTATACACTGTATGAGTTAAGTTTATTTATAGAGAATTGAAGAATAGAATTTAATTGATTATAATGGCATTTGATTTTGTGGAAAGAGTACTCCTGGAAAATCAGTTTTTCCTGGTCAGGAGATAGGAACTTGTGATTAAAAACTTATAGATGCTGAACCAGTGAAGAAGTTTGGGCATGTCTTAATTAATCATAACTGAAGGTGGGAGGAATTAAAGTCTTGAAAAATGCCCCCCCCCCCCCTTAGTTTTATATCTTCCTTGAACACTTGTGTGGAATCCTGCATGCTGGCAGCTCATTTAGTTTGAACCAAGTTCTGCTGCATGGTATCATTGGGAAAATGTTCTTTGTTGATTTAAGCAGTTCTGTGTACTGTGTTGTCTGTGGTCTCTTACGTGACTTGTTCCCATTCCCCCTCCCCCATTCTTGGCCACATGACCTCTTCAGTCACATTGGTGAGTTGCCCTTTTTACTTTGATATGTGTTGCAAGCTCTGCCTGCTGCCTGAGAGTGAGCTGTGACATGGCTCTCCAATTTCTTCTGCATGCTTTATTTACCTCTGCCAGGCCCCAGACCATGCATGGTTATAAGGCTCTGGTTGGCCAGCTTCATGCTACTCTGAGGAGCTTGGGGAGAGTTGATCAGGAGGGTGATGGGGCAGAGGAGAGTGCGGCTCCCTGGTTTTAGATTCACAAGGAAGAAGAAGGGTCACATCTTGTGTGCTTGGAGACTAATTCAATGAAAAGAAATGAACAGTCTTCAAGATGCAGTCACTAAAGAAACCCTTCACAGAGGAATCTGAATGTAGCTTAGGAGCATTTCCCTTTTTTGACCTCTTTTCTGTCTTTACCTCATGGTAGTAACCTCAGGAATTTCACAGAATGGAGGGGAGACATGAGTAAGGCATTTCTGTGGAAATACCAGAACAATGTCCCAGTGTTAGAAATGCCTGGCACCTGACTGATATTCTTGACGTCAGTAGAGATGGTTATGTTATTAATTCCATTTCAAAGGTGACAAATCTAAGACTAAGCAAGGTTAAGTGATTCCCCTCCCCACAAGATTAAATGGCTATTACATGGCCTAGGCAGGATTTGAACCTAGTCCTCAGATTCCAAATCCCACACCCTTACCCCCAAACTACTTTGCCCCTTGGAATGAATCAAGTCTCTTATAGAGCAGACTACTGTATTTCATTTGTGACTTCAGCTCCTTCATGTGTGTGTGTTGGGCCAGGCTCATCAGTATTGACTGAATAGATGATCATCTGCACATTCCCCTCCCACTTCTCCTGGTATCCAGGAAGCCTCAACAGCTAATGAAAGGGATAGTAGAGCTGTGGTAGAAACCAATGTGCCCTAAAATGAAATGGATCCAGGATATCTCAAGGCTGCAGAAGGTTAAGAGAATTGAGCGAGGAAGAAAGGGGATGGCGAATTTGGGGAACACCACCTTCTCTGTTTCAACTCACAATTGTTTACCCTTTGTAAGGGTCTGCCTCTTTCTGTACTGTGTCTGGCTTGCTTTGACATTTCTGTGGTTGTGTGTCTCCGTCTCCATGCCTTCCTCCATTATGGGTTCTTCCCTCTGGGGATGAACCAGTGCCTTCCCTGAGGAAGCTGGGTTGTGTCAGATTGTTGTGGTTCCTTTTTGGAGGGGTCACAGTGTTTCTGCTCTTAACTCAAGCTTTGACTTCTCAAGCCTTGCTCTGAGCTAGCTGCTTGTTTTCCATGAACTTGTCCACCTCATAACTGTGCCACCTCCGCCCCAAGCTTGCTGTGCCAGTGTGAGAACAAAGCAATCTAAAACCTATACTGAAATAAGGATGAGTCACGATGGAGGGATTAGAATACAACTTTGTTGTTAGAGTCAGAGTTCATGAAGGTCAGAGAAAAATGCATCTTTTCTCTTGAATTCCCTTTAATATCTTCGTGCAGATTTCCCCAGGCTGTGTACATAAAGGCCCAGGCACCTCACCTCAGACCAGTGCTTATGGACTGGCTCCAGAATTCAGTTGAGCCAAACTGAATTATGAGGGAAATTAGTCACAGAAAGAATCATCCAATGTCTGTCAAAGGCAATTATAAGTTTACCAATAAACTCTTTAAAAAAAGTAATCCCCCTATGTGACATTTCCATTTTATCACTATGAAGTTATGACAGCCTGTCAAAGTCAATTATACATGTTCTTCATTTTATCTGCCATTTTGGGTTCTCCATGGACTTGTTAGCCTCGATTAGGTCCTTGATGGGATCTGACTGTACTATGATTTCTTACCATAAGTTGATAAGTTTTATTAAGGAGCCAGTCATTTGTTTTGCTTTGTTTCTGTTGTGCTGAGGATTAAACCCAGGGCTTTGTGCATGCAAGGGCCATACCTTTGAGCTACATGCCCAGCCCAAGAAGTCAGTAGTTTTGTTTTTGTTGTTTTTTTGTTTTTGTTTTGTTTTGGGTACTGAGGATGGAATCCAGTTTTGTTTTGTTTTGTTTTTTAAATACTGCTGTTTGATTTTATTGCTCTCAGCCAGAAGCTAACCTATTCTTGAATGAGTCAATTGTGATAGATCTCAGCAAGGTATCATTGTTAAACACAGGAAAGTGGTTGAACAGGTTCCTGAGAATCAATGAATTAATAGACCTTTGTGGAATACCCATTAAGTAGTGAGCTCTAGTAGTTTCAAAAGTCTTGTGAAATGTGGCTCTCCCTTCAGCAGCAGTTAGAGGGGCTGTGGAGGCTGCATTGTCTCCTGTGGGTGTCACAGTAGGGTAACGTAACCATACCTTGGTATGGTCACCAAGAATGGTCCAGGTGTATTTTTCAGCTCTGATGGCTCTGAAACCTGATTGTTGTCACTGTACCTGGTTTAGAATTTACTATGAAAAACATAAAGCCACATAGCTCTTTTTCTTCCAGTCCTCTCTGAAGAGAATATTTCTATCAGCAGATTGGTTTCTTCTCTTCTAGAAGGATCTACTCCTTGGAAGCAAATGATCAAAATGGCTACTGTCTACTGTTTCATGTCAGGTCCTGTTCATGTCAGGCTCTTAGCATACATTATATTTTATATAGTCTTTAACAACAAGCCTCTACATGGAGGTACTTGTGTCCATTTTGCGTGAGGATACCCAGGTTTCAGATAAATGACTTACCCAGCTGAGCACAAAAGTAGACCAGTGAAGCTTAAAGTCATCCACTTAGGTCTCTCTTGGTCCCTTGGCTCCTCGGTTCTCTATCACACCTGAGATTATGGACTCTTGCTTCTCCAGTTTTCCAAGGTGGGTTGTCTAATCTCATATACACCAAAGTTAGATTGCAAAATATGTAAAAGGGACGTATGTAATTTTTCCAATTTGCCACAATAGGTTTTATGACCAATCTAACTGGGCTGCTGGGTGAGTACTGGAGACATAATGGAAGAGGTGATAGAGAAGTAATTAGTCCTGACATCCTAGATTCCAATGGGAAAACACAAAGGACATGATTGCTGATCTCCAGATGTTAACATTCTCAGAATTTCACTTTGGCTCTTTGACCCTGTGTATGTGCCCCCTGGGAATGTTACCCGTTACAGTAAAATACCAGTGCTCCAAAAGACAAAGTTGATTTGTGGAATATTTAGAAAGAAATTCACCATTCACTTCATTATAAGCAAAAGTGAAACTCAGAGGCAAGGTACCTACACCGAGATTCCGGTGAAGTATTTCTGTAAACTCATTAAACCAATGACACTCACCCTCTCAGCATCTCACCCATTAAAAACTTTTATCAAGTTCGTTGTCATTTGTCACTTCCCTTTTCAACTTTGTCTAATCAACTTGTATTAGTAAAGATTCAACTTACTGTGCTATGGATTTTTTTCCTTTGCTTTAAAGGTGTTCCTTGGGTGTCACCTAGCTCCATGTGCTCAGCCCCTCCATTTCCTGATTGCCTTCTTGGTCACATCGCCTTAAAACTATAGCTTTCATATGGCAAAAAATGACACTGAAAATATAGAGCATGGTAGCAAGTCAAGTTTCAAGGCTACTTCTCTGCAGAAATGATAATCCCTATCCTAGTTGGTTATGGTTTCTGTGACCTCGCTCACTCAAGGTGGTGGAGTGATTTAATTTTGTTTTTAGATCACTTGTTGAAGTCTACCTTCTGCATGCAGTTCTTCCATACCAGCTCATTCTCTGATTTCTGCTCATGTTGCTTTTTGAAAATTCTTCTTTCAGGGCAACAGTTACCCCACATGGGTTTTTCTTCATCCCTATTTTTTACTATTTAACACATCATCCTCCTGGAAGCTTCTCTTTTGACCTTACTAATGTTGTGTTTGCCTTATGTTGTGCTTCATTTCTGTTGCTCTTTGTTTTCCTTCTGTGAGTTTCTCTGGCCTGTGTAATAGGTAACACCAGTGTCCCCACCATTCTTCCTCTGCTTATCAGAAGTGACCTTGATGGCTCACTCTCCTGACCTGTGTCTGCTCAACAGCTACTCGAATGTCCCACTTTTCTTTCAAACTAAAATATCTAAATTTCAACGCATCATTTTTGTTCCTAGGAACCCATTTCACACTACCCCACCCACTTCCAGATTTCCATCAATGGTGTCCTCAGTCTCTTGCAGAATGAAGGCCACTTAACTTTCAGTCTTCCTTCATCCACAGTCAGGCCGAAGTCTTCCTTCATAGTTCTTCCCTGACTTTCCTCCCTTGCTTCTGCCTCATTCATTTCAGGTCTCCATAAATGGTGGGAGCCTACTGGATCTTTCTTTCTTTCCAAGAATTTTCACCCTCTGGTTTCCTTTGTAAGTGCTGCCTGACAGCATTTCCAGAGTGCTGCTTTGAATACATTATCCTTTTTCCGGAGCTCCAGAGTGAGGTGTGATGGTGACAGACTAAACAGGAATCCCTGCCTTCAGGATAATGTCCAGATGCTTTACACTGCCACATAAATTTCTGTGCAGTCTGGGTGACATCCTGACAGACTTTATTCATTCAACCTCTGCAGTGTCCCTAGTTTGCCATTCAAGAAGCCACTACCAGAGACAAACCAGAGGACTTCTGTTTCCCCTCAAAACTCATACATTGCCACCTTTCTAGTTTTTTTCAAGCCATTTGTGTTAGTTACCTTCCCATGACTGTTGCAAATATCTGATGTAATCAACTTAGAAGGGTTTATTTTGGCTCACGGTTTCAGAGGTTTCAGTCCATGATTGGTTGGCACTGTCACTTTTAGTCTTGGAATAAGGTTGGCTTCAATGCATGGCAGTGCAAAACCTCTCACCTCATGGCAGGGAAAAGAGAGACAGAGAGAGAGACACACACACACACACAACACACACACACACCGTGGACCCAAGATCACCTTTGAGGACACACCTGCAATGGTCTAAAGCTTCCTGTTGTTCCTTCCACCTATTGAAATGTCCACCACCTCCTAACAGCACCAAGTTAGGGACCAAGCCTTAAACCCATAGACTTGTGAGAGACATTCCAGATCCAAACTATAGCAACACTTGTCTGTCGAAAATGTAACTCTGTACTCCTTTTTTTTTTTTTTTTTTTTTTTACTTTTCATATTCATTTTTCAATGCCTAGTTCAGGACCAGCCTTTTCCAAAAATCTTGTAAGGCCACCCGGTCCTAAATAATCACACTGACCTAAATAGGTCTGTAGCTAGGCTTACTGCTGTGCAATTTATTATCCAAACCAGAATGTTTGAGAGTGAGAGGATGTGTCGTCATTAACAAAGTCAGGACAACAGGAATGGAACAGGTCTTCCCTGGATAAACTGGGACAGATGTCATGCTGTCTTTAGCCCCGTGTGGTTTGCTCACACTTCCCACTTAGCAGGTAGCGTCTACTACCTTATTTTGCTGATAATGCTGTGATAGTGGTGTCCCCGCTCCCCATCAAGCCCAGCCCCCGGGTAGCTACATTATACTTATTCTTCCTCATATCCCTAGAACCTACCATTTTGCTGTGTCTTGTAGTAGAAAGTAAATAATGTTTATTAATTAGAATGCTGGTAGAAATCATTACTTAGCAGTTTTTGCCTTATATTTCTGTGGTGATCTTGCCAGAGAAATACACTGTTTAATTTTTCTTATTTAGCTCATTGACATGTGCATGCAGAACTGTGGTCCAAGTTTCCAATCTCTGATTGTGAAGAAAGAATTCATTAAAGATAGTCTGGTTAAGCTGTTGGATCCTAAATACACCTTACCATTGGACATTCAGAATAGAATCTTGAACTTCATTAAGGTGAGTCTGTTGTCTACTTGCCACATCCTAAATAAAGGACGGTATGTTTCTAAGATTAGAGATTTAATGGGATAGCTTCTGATTGTTTCAATGATCCTTCTTAACCTAGGATTGAGCCAGAGAACATTCCCATTCCTTTGTTTCTGTGGCATAATGATTTCTGGGTGTTGGATAATAACCTTTTCCTGAAGAATTTGTATTCATCTCCCTCCCTTCCTCTTAGTTTCTATTTCATCCACATCAGGAAAGACATTGATGGGTATGTTCATTTTGTAGATATGGAAACTATCTTCTGGAGCAGATAAATGACTATTTCAAGGTTACCTGGCTAAAGAGTTACTGATACTATTTTGGAATCTATTAATTTTATGTTTAGCACAGCAAAAAATGATTGATCGTATCTATTTCAGGGTTCTATCAAGATGTTGAAGCATAGGATTCTGAGGATTTAAAGTATTTTATAATATCCTAGCCTTGAAAATGAATACTTTGTTCATGGCATTCAGAAAAATAGCTTTGTGTTTCCTAATAAAGGACACAGTTGTTAATTTCTCATCTTATATCGCAAGTTTAAAAACTGCTTTTGCTGCTATTTTAACTCCAGAACTTTCTGTCTCTTGAACTCAGTGTTGGTCACAGGGTTTCCCAGGAGGTGTGGATGTAAGTGAAGTGAAAGAAGTGTACCTGGATCTGCTTAAGAAGGGTGTTCAGTTTCCTTCCTCAGATGCAGAGGCTCCAACAGCAAGACAAGAGGTAGGAGGCTTTTCTTTGACCCATGTGGAGTAAGAGAATGTTACCTGGATCCTTTTATATTGTAAGCCACACCCTGGCTCAACTAGGTGGAGCCAAAAGATGAGTTAGTTTACTAGAAGGATGTGGCCACATCTTGCAGAATAACAATGGCTAAGGACCTGGTTGCTTGGTGATTTTGGGGTCTGATCTGGAAGCAAGTTAGAAATGCTTCATGCCCAAATAAGTCAGAATCCTCATTTTTATAAGATTTCCAGGTGTTTTCTCTGCACATTGGTGTTGATAAGCACTGGCCTAGAGCCCATGCTATGGGCTGTCCACCTAATGTTTCAGGTAAGGCATTGACTCAGGGAGTGGTGATTGGTGGAGGATGTGCCTTGCCAACTGTGGCTTAAAAAAAATTAATATGAATTTAGTTACCATTTGTTTTAATGACCTAAAGAGAGGGCAGTAATCATCTCACATGACAGTTTATCAGGCAGACACTTTGTAAAAACCAAGAGTACTTTATTGAATTGTTATTCAGTTAGTAAACTGAATAGCAGCCACATTGCTATTGAATACCTGCTGCATACTATTGAATACCTGCTCTGTTATGGGCATGTCATTTGCTTAGGGCTTTTCTCAAAATGATGGACAGGTTATATGCTTGATGATTGAATCTGGGCTACTCAGGACTTTGGTTGAGAGTGCCTGAGTCAGCTCAGAAAACGGGGCTTGAAGTGGCTATGTGAGTCTCATAGAATTTCTTCCTTTCATTCTCAGACCTCATTGACTCCACCAGCATCTGTTCCTACTGCACCAGCTCTTTCTTCAGTAATTCCTCCCAGGAACTCAACTATTACTTTGGTCCCAGAACAGGTAACAAGCGCAAAAAATATATTTGTTGATGCCTTTTCTAAGTTCTAAGCATTGTATATATAGTTTGTTTGTTTTAACAACATTATGAGGTATATGTGCATTATTCCCTGTGGTTTAAGAGCACAGAAGACTATGGCTTGGGGATACTTCTGTGAATTACCGTGGTTGATTTCTGAGGAGAATTTATCCAGTTGCTTCTGTCTGATTCCATAGCTTACTTTTAATTGTGTGTATCTAGTTGATTTCAGGGCTTTGTGAAGTTTTGACTGTGGACTGAGACTTATGTCCATCAGTTGATTCCTGTTCCTACTGATAGGACTGTCTGAATATCATTTCAGAGAGCTCAGGAAATGGGGGTCTTTATTAATTGTGCCAACTAAGAGGCTTCTTTGTCCATCAAAGGGGCACATGAACAATTATGTAACACTTAGGTCCTGCTATAAAGGAACTGTCACTGAAGATTTGTATTAGTATTATTCAATTAATATTTGTATTAATATTATCAATAAACATGAAAATCTGTGTGATTTCCCTCTTCCTGTTTAATTGGGGAGGAAAAAAAAGGGGTTTTATTTTTTATCCTTCTTGCTATGATGCCATCAGAGTGCTAAACATTCTCATTTTCTCCCCAGCTCTTATTGGTTACCAAGAAACTCAGGGTAACATTTGCCATTTTTTTCCAGGTTCTTAATTCTCCTACTATGTACTTAGTACCTCCTCCTCTAATTGTTTTAATCTTTTTTTTTCATCCCTTCATTTTTAATTTTCCTAAAGTGTAATTTTGGGTTTGTTACAAGAAATCTCAAGACCATTTATTAACAGTATAATTCATAAAGTAATTAAACGTGTGTGTTTGTATAAACTTAAATGTGTTTGAAGACATGAAATTTTGCAGCATTATCTCCTCCAGCATAAGTCCTGGGAGTGGGAAGCAAGCTAGCCACAGCCATTCTTCTTCAAGCAGTGCACTTACTGGGGATTGTGTTGCTCTCCACAGATTGGAAAGCTGCACAGTGAATTGGATATGGTGAAAATGAATGTGAGAGTGATGTCTGCCATACTGATGGAGAACACTCCCGGGTCTGAGAACCATGAAGACCTAGAGCTTCTGCAGGTGCTGTATGATCAGAGACAGAGTGTCTTGTGCCGTCATTCTCTAAACTTTTGAGCTTTGGAGATGGAAGACACTACTGTTGCCTAGTCCTTCCCCTTGCATCTGACTTCATTTGATTTCTAAACTTGAGAAGAAAAGATCAAAGAATGACATTAGCAGAAATGCAGTAGTAACTTAGACATGATTCTTCCTTGCCCTGATGCAGTTTATGACCTTGGTCATATGCAGTCAAGTACCCCATTGGGTTTTGTTTTCTTTTTAAATTTTCATTTATTTATTTTTTTTTCAATTTTGCAGTACTATGAATCAAACCCCAGGGCCTTGCATGCTGGGCAAGTGCTCTATAGCTGAGTCACACCCCCAGCCCTTGTCATTTTATTTTGAGGGAGAGTCTCCCTATGTTGCACAGGCTGGCCTCTAAGTTTTGTGATTGTTTTGCCTCGGCCTCTGGAGTAGCTACGATTATAGGCGTGTGCCACCATGAGTATCTTCTCATTGTTTTAAGTGTAAAAAAATTGCATCCATTCAGCAAATGTATTGAATAACTATAAGGAATATAGATATAAAGAGGCTGTCCGTAATCCTTAAGAACTTTTGTCTAGTGAGCAAGATTAGTTTATAAACAACCAAATCAAGTATTACAGATGCTGTAATATAAAATTTGTCAGAATGGGATGGCCTCATGAATGGGGATGAGGAGAAAGGTGAAGATTTTAGGAAAGCTTTTGATGGGGGCAGTACTCATCTGTGGAGGAACAAATGAAAAGGCATTGGGACTTTCATGAACATGGGAGGAAAACCATGAGCATTTGGAGGGTCCTCCCAAACCTCCTGTACATTCATATACTTTATTTTTTCACTCTATTCATTTGTTCATTGAATTATCAATTTTTAAATTTTAATACATATTACTTTTAGCGACTTGTTATAGCACATGTCCGTAATTCTAGCACTTAGGAAGCTGAGTAGGGAGGCTTACTTGAGTCCAGGAGTTCAAGACCAGCCTGGGCAACATAATGAGATAGTGAGACCTTCTCTCAAAACAAAAGAATAAAATATAGACTTCCTTTTAATGCTTATTAAATTTAGAAGTCATTAGAAAAAAAAAAAAAAAAGATCTGTTTCTAAGTCTCCCTAGGCAAGTTAACAATCTGTCAGATTTTTATTTTTCTCAGAAGATTCTCACTCCCTGCTTCTCATGTTGGTGTTCTCTTTAATTCCTTAGATAGTTAGTGATATTCCACTTCCTCCTGATTTACTAGGGTTACAGACATGCGCCACTACACCTAATTAAGAAGCGTTTTTAAAGAGTTGATTCTAATGTGATTAAAATAAAAAGAAAAGAAAAACAAAAAAACAGAGGTTACTTCTCACTCTGTGTATCTCTGTGCAAACCTTTACCAGAGACCACTGGGTCTCCTTGTAAGGAACTCCTTGCGGCTCCCAACCCCACTGTCAGTGGATGTGAATTTGCGTGTTTCTCAGGTGTGTAGGCAGAAGAGGATGCAAACACATAACTTGAAGCATAAAGTAAGATCTGATCTGTACAAGTTCTTAGGGACTCTTCAAGCCTTGGAGATTCTTGGGGATTCTTCAAGGCTTGAGCACTTGGAGGGTCCTCCCAAACTCCTGTGTCTATATATTCATATACTTTGGGACGTTTGCAAAGTTCATTGTTATAGTAAGATTGAGTCTTTGTTTTTAACCCAACATTTGCAGACTTACTTGACCAAAGAATCCTGATTTTCTAAATACCTGTTAATATTCTGCAGAACATGAAAGCAGTGTACCTTGAGAAACAAATCAATGTTATGATCATTGGTTTAAGTGTATCATTCTTGGAATATTTTACTTAGGAGTATTGTAAAATATCATTTCATTGAACAATGGAGGTCTTGCCCTTGGTCTAGTCATTGGGCTTTGTTTCTGCATGTCTAAAATGAAGAGCTTAGATGATACTTTATAAATAAAGGGAATATTAAACACATGCTATTAATTTAGAAGAATAAAAGGAAAATCAATCATTAGAATTCATATTCAGCAACCCTTTAAAAAATCCACAATTGGGGCTGGGGATATAGCTCAGTTGGTAGGGCACTTGCCTTACATGCACAAGGCCCTAGGTTCGATCCCAGTACCACCAAAAAACAAATAAATAAATAAATAAATAAATAAAACAAATCCACAATTGGAGTCTTTTATGTGTAGAGACTTTGTAACCTGTTAACTAGTGAGTTAAACTAAAATTTAAATATCCAAGTAAAAGGGTATGTGGCAGATAATAGATTTTGAAAATGGCCATAGCAATATTTCTAGTTTCACATGGTCTTCACAGGCCAGTCAGACCTCTGAAATGAATTGATTTATGACTTGTTTCTCATAGTCTCATCCATTTGTAGCAAAGAGCCCTGTGGTAAAAATGCACACACTTCTATTTAAATACCTGAATCCAGTTTTATCTTTTATTCACCATGACTGAAATGCCTTTTTGTCTGAGTCCTTGGGTGCAGATGTTTGGTTGAATCTTACAAGTATGATGAGAATTTGTGGGTTGCTGTTTTAATGCCAGAGCTCAGGGTTGTGTATTGCTTTGAAAGTAAAGAGATTTAGGTTATAAATCAACATTGGAATACTGCTCCTAGCCAATTCAAGTTGAATGGGTTCTGGCATCCAATCAACTTGTTTACAGAGACTGCTAGATGGGAAACTTTGTTTTTCTTCCCATGCTTTTTGGCAATAACAGATAAAGATCTGGTGTAGGGTAGGCTATTCCAAATTTCTTTTGACCCATATTTGAAGTTTTAAAATCTAAGTAACTCTGCTGTGGTTGATTTCTTCACCTGCTATGGAGGGAAAGGACAAGGAACCTATCTGACTGAAAGATCTAAAAAAGGAGAGTAACCAAAGGTAGACTTTGGAGAAGCAAAGGAATTCTTTACATTTTACTTTGTCAAAGGTTTGCTCATCTGTCTGCACTACTGAGATCAGTAAGAGGGAGGAACCTAGGATGATGTGCTAGTTCCCTAGCTGCTGCCCTCAGAACTGCTGGGGCTTCCAAAAGCTGCATCATGAACCCAGGTGGTCATTAGAAGGAGTTGGCAGCCAGATGGGAGGAAGAACCCAAAGGAAAGAATAATGCAGAGAGAGCAGCCTTGACAATAGCAGTGTCGTTGGTAGAAGGAGTGGAACCATCCAGACCTCATTCTTCTCCTGCTTCCCGTCCCTGTCCTGATAGCTGAATCCAGTCAGAAACCAGAGGGCAGCAGACCTGGTGGTGTGGTCCCTACAAGCCAGCTTCCCTGGCAGAAAGTGGCCAGTGGATCTGCAGGGCAAAAGAAAGGTGGCCAGCCCTAGGAAAGCCTCCACTCAGAAATTGTCTGGCTCTTCTAGCACATAACCAGTGACTACAGTCTTATCATTTGTTAGTGTTAAAACCAGAATTTTATTTGTTTGAGGTTACCTTCTACTGGTTGTTCTGTTTCTTTGGAACCTGTTTCCTACCTGTTTCCTTCCATCTGAAATCTAATGTATTTCCCTGGAACTCCCTCTCTGTTCCTCCAGTCCATGTTGAGCCATTAGATCCTGAAACGCTATTGATTCACAGGGCTCCTGCACTCTGTTAGACCTTTGGGTCATAAAACCATTTTGTGCAGTAGATGCCGTTTCTTATCACTCACTGTGCTTAACTGGGCAGGGACTGGATTTCCTTTGCTAGAGGGGAGTGTGAGGCTGCAGCCAATCTCAGGTATGTGGTGATGAGCTGTGGGTGTCTGCCCTGGCCACAAGTATGAAGAATTGCAACACCCGTTTCCTGTATGTGTTTTCTTGCCCATTGTGCATTTGGCCTTGGGCACTTTCCTCTTATCTTGAGAAACCAACTTTCTCAGGACCTCCCACTTTAGTCTTTCTTACCTTTTGCCTCTTCCCAATAGACCAAACAAAGAAAATATTTTGGTCTTTTGTGGAATCAAGAGAGCTCAGATGATCATGTGAGGATGATCTATAAACCAATTAAAAAAAAAAAAAAAGGAAGAAAGAAAAGAAAAATCACCCTTCTCTGACCAAGTCTTTATCCTTCTCAGGAACTTGTAAGATACTTGGAAGGGACTTTCCACGTCATGGACGAAGCTGCATATTTAGAAGAGGGATGGCTTGCCCACCCACTAGTAAGCAGGGAGGGGAATGAGAACTGTATTCTCCTAAGCCTGTGTTCTATCCTTGATGCCAGCTCCTTTCTCATTGTGAACCAAGGGTTGATTTTTCTAGGGTAGAAGGCTAACCTATTTTATTTTTAAAATTATTTATTCATCAATTCATTTATTTACCCTTTTTATTTCTACTTTTGAGACAGGATTGCACTAAGTTGCCAAGGTTGGCCTCAAACTTGCACTCCTCCTGCCTCAGCCTTCCTAGCTGCTGGGATGATAGGCATGCACAACCATGGCCACCCTAACGGACTGTCTTTTCCTGTAGGTATGAAATTAGCTCTGAACTAGTTAGAAAGCCACTTGAATACAGTAACCAAGGCCTATCCTTGTAAAGCCATTACAGTGCTTCATGGAGTTATGCATATTTGTATTACATGCTTGGCACACTGAGTGAGGTTATTAAACATCAGTTGAATAGATCAATGCACTTTGTTGAAGAATGAGTGACTTAGGACAAAGGAAGTTACATAGAACAGAAGGATTTATTGAAGACATAGGTATTAGGGAAATAAGATGTTGACAATATTTAATGGGGCAAAAGAGTCAAAGAATTCCAATGATGATCTGAGGATTCTATTGACAGTTCATCGTTCAGCTGAGGTGTGTATGAGGAACAACTGTGTGAACAATTGATTTAAGCTGATAAATGTTTCATTTTGGAGTGTGGGAGAGTTTTTCTTTTTTAGCAGATAGAGGCATCCTCTCAATCTCTTGCAGTCGGGGTTGGAAGCACTGGGAGAGGAAAAATATGTTATGGGCTGATGATAGGGATGTTGCCACACAGATACTCTATTTTATAGAGATTCTTTCATGCAAACACACTATTTCCTGTTTGTACATTTCTCTTTCTGTTTTCAGTGTGTGGCCCTGTCTTGGTAAACGTAGGTCAACTGTAGTTTGTGCTGAAAGTTCAGAGGGCTCTCCTTCCTTAATTCCTGAAAGCTTTGTGGAGGATTAAGAGCCATCTGGATGTTGGAAGAGGAAGCTCTTAATGAGCTCCTTTTTGTTTTGCTCCAAAGCTTTTTGAATTGATTGTTAAATTCATTCTAACTTGGAAGCCTGACTTTGCCTTTATAATAAAAGGAGGTGATTCCAGAGGCTCTGTCAGTGACACTTGTATTAGCATCTGTCATTCTTGACTCATTCCCCATGGCTCCCTGTATCCACAGCCCTGCAGGTTCCGACTGTGAGGAACTCTGACCCATCTTTTTTGTCCATGGTGCTTGGTCTCTGCTGTTTCCAGGTGATGCAGCCCTCCTCTGAGACAGACATCAGTTGCAAAGATCAGAGTGGGCTGGCTTTTGAAGAGGTTTTTCTCATTCTGCTTTGCAAACCTGCTGAGAGATGTGATGTTCCTTTCATGTTTCCATTCCATTTGGCTCTTGAAAGGGCAAAGGGAGGGTCTTCTTATGACTGGGGGCTATTGATGTTGGCTGCAAATTCATTTCAAATTAATTTCTACATTTTTGTCATGGGCATCTAACACCCATTGTATTTCCTTGATCTTGACCTTGTTCTAGCAAGGCTGCCAGTGAGCAACAAGAGGAACAATTGCTGTACCCTTTAAAGCAAGAACAAAGGAAACATTCTCATTCATCAGAGAAGTAGATGCTCTTGGTTCTCTGCTTTGCATGATATTGGTTCCTAGGTGATGGTGCAAGTATTAGAGGATTGTATGAATTATTGAGATGAGCTTCTCGTCACCAATGTAATATGTCGTGGCTACTCACTGTATACTAGACATTGTGGGGCTTCAGATAGTCATTTCCTGTCCTTACAATAACCCTGAAAAATGGTTGTTATTGCTGTGTTATAGATGTGGGGAGAAACAAGCCTTCTGTTAAATTTTAGCCTTATTTCTCTAAATTCCATAGCAGGTATGTATACTGGGTCTACTTTTAGCCTATTGCATCTGCAGTCCTTTCTCTTTCCATGTAGCTACCACTTGTCTTTTGTTTTATTAGAAGTTTGTCACAACCATCTCTTGTTTTCTAGGGTTGTTTTCACACCATAATGGCAGAGTTCAGTACTTTCAACAGACTAGATGCTCCACGAAACAAAATATTTAATATCTAGAGCTTTAAGAAAAATTTTGACCCCCAACACCATGCCATGGCTGATGGTGGCCATGTCATTAGCAAATAGGACAGTTTTTCTGGCTATACATTGGAAGTATTAATACCCACTCTCAGCTATCTGTCTGATTCCCCCCTTGTTTTTCCCTTTTCATTTCATCTGTGTTCTAAATATTTTTATGATTTTGTGGAGGGTAGTGGCTTTTATCTCTTAGTCTAAATGCCAGTTATTAAAAGGTCGATTTATTTATTTAGAGATTTCCTCTCAGGAGTCTTGTAATATAGATTGTTTGAGATTCTAAATGGTCTTCTGAAGCATTAATTTTTCAGTAGTCTGTTTCTTGAGGGGAAAATGTCAGATTGTTTAATTGTGTGATGCTTAAGCAACTTGAGTTGCATTCACTGCAAGAGGAGGATCAGCCCTGTGCTTTTGGCTAATGTTGGCAATGTTACACAGGCAAATTCTAGCCAAGGTAGGGCGGAGGAGATAATAACATTAGTTGGATGCACTTCAGGTTTATTGGAGGTTTGCCTAGAAGGAAGTCAGTTGTAAGGCGGCACTTTTCAAATGTCAGTGTACATAAGAAACTTTTTGGTGTGCTTGTTTAAAAGTATAGATCCTCGGACCCCAAGTCCTGGAGATTATGGAATCAGTAAGTGTGTTTTAGGTGCCTCTAATGCTTGTGAGAAAGATACTGATTTGGAGCATGGTGGTTGTGGCTCACTGCAGGGATTCTAGGTATCTCAATAAGGTTATTACCTGTGAGGAGTTTTTTTAATCCTGGTAGTGTTTACACTGGAATGTGATATGCCTGTAAACTCTTAGTGTTTAAGTACAGTATAACAGGAAGTAAAATTATACCACTGTCAATGTTTTTTAACTACTTCTTCTCCCATCACTAATAACGACAATAACATTTTATGTTTGTGCTTCCTAGTTATAGAGTTCCTCATTATGTACATCTCATTTCATTTTTATGTCAACCCTTGAGGCAGATGGAGCAAATGGTTATTTTTCATCTATCAATGAGAAAACTGAGATTTAGAAAAGAGTAATATTTTTTCCCCCAACATGGCATAGGTAATAAGTACTGCATCTAGAATTCCCATACAGCACCTCTAATTTGTAGTCCAAGCATTGCTTCTGGTATACTGTATTGTCCTTAGGACACCCATTTTGGCTTTCAGAGAAAAATAAAAGCATTTTTATAACTCATTGCCTTCCAATTCGAAAGATGCACTTTCCACAGTTGAACACCTTGTAGGCTCTCACAGGTGACTTGGCCTGAGGTGATCACATGTATATGTAGACTGGCATGTTGTGTCTATAGAGCCTAGCATGGAAGAAGAAACGACTCTCCTTTCTTTGACAGAAACTTTACAAGACATGTCGGGAGATGCAGGAGAGGATCATGGACCTGCTTGTGGTGGTGGAGAATGAAGATGTAACTGTTGAGCTGATTCAAGTAAATGAGGATTTGAATAATGCCATCCTTGGATATGAGAGGTGAGCTGATGGTGTCCCCTCTTTGGCCCTCCTTCGGTCACAGTTGCACCATTCACTCAGTGACCTCACAACAGTGCCCAATGGGGGACACCTTTTTCTAGATACTTTTTTCTCAGTATGTGTGGCATTCTGCAAGGGACAGTTTTCCCTTGTGTGGCTTCTCTTCACTAAATGCCAGAGGTGTTCCTCCCAGTTTAAGTGATTTACGAGGCGCCCTTAAAGACACATTTCTGAGGAGAATTACTTGGAATGTTTAAATGTACAGTGGCTATATTCCTAGCTAGCAGATGAAGAGTGAGGCATAAAAAAAGAGAATCGGTGAAATAAAACCAGCACCCGTAGAAGGGTAGGTTCTTCCTTTGCTGCCTACCAGGACAGCAGCTGTTTGTAAGAAAAGATGAGGGGGCATTGACTGATGATGCGAACCTTGCTCTCTTTCTTAGCACTAAAGAAATTCACAGTCCCATCCTGTGTTTATTTTTGTATGGTGTAAATCTTGGTAAGCAGAGAAATATCCAAGGAAAACCATGTGTTTTTTAGTCTAGTTGTGTCCTGGTTTTTATTTGGGAGGATTCTATTGCAGACCATAAGTCCAGTGCCTAAAGGTCTCCTTCGTCGGGAGAGAGTTTATTTGGTCTAGATATCAGGGAATGGGGTTACTTCTGTGAACACTAGGTTCTGGTTCAGCTTTGAACTACATGTGCCAAGGTGACTGTGGCAAGTTGTGTGATAAACGCTTGAGTCCTGAGATCCAGAGAGAAATACTTGCCTCTAGAAAAAATACAGACCTGTGTTTTAGTTTTCTTCGGCTGCTGTAACAAGTGACCATGGACCTGGTGGCTTAAAACAACACAAATTTATTATCATAGGATAATAAATGAATTCTCCAGGTCAGGAGTACCAGTGGATGTCGTTAGGCTAAATCCTGGGTGTTGGCAGGGCTGTTTTTCCTTTCTGGAGGCCCTGGAGGAGATTCTGTTTATAACTTCTAGAGACTGCTTGCTTTTTCTCATGACCCCTTTCCCCTGTCTTCAAAGCCAATGCCTGGTTCAGAACTCTACATGTATCACTCTTACTTCCTCTTCTGCCTCCTCTTCCAAGTTTAAGGACTTTTGTGACTACATTGGGCTCTTCTGTACTGTTTAGGATAAATGCCCAGTTAGGGTCAACTCACTGGTCAGCTTCATTCCATTTGCAACCTTTAATCTCCCCTTGCAGCATAACCTAATAAATTCACTGGTTTTGTTGAGTAGGTCAGAGATACATTTGGAGGGGTTATTATTCTGCCTATCCCAATCAGTCCAGTGGTCCCCCAAAGATTCCCCTTCATCCCTCATACAAAATACATTCATCTTATTCCAACATTCCCTAAATCCAATTCCTCACTCAATGCTTCCAGGGGATAGTTTTGAAAATAAAGAAATTGATATCAGTTACCTACAGCTTGATCTGGGAACGCTGTTCTTACCTCACACATAACTGAGTAATGTAACAAAGAAGCCAAAACTAACAGTAGAAGACATTAAAAAGCATATATTTTTGAAAAATCCTTAAACCTAGTGCATACTCAGATGCAGTGTAAACTTTAAGACCGTAAGGCTCATGAAGTCAGTGTGTCCTAATGGTCATACTGGATGCTTACTACAGAAGGGTCTCCACCTTCATCTACCTGGATTATCTGTGTATCTATTTATCTATTTTTGACCCTGAAAATAAATTTCTTCTACTTTGTTTTCCTTTATTGCACTAAGGATTGAACCCGGAGCCTCAACATGCTAGGCAAGCTCTTTATCAGTGAGCTACTGAGCTATATCCCCAGCCCCTGAAAACAGATTTCTGAAGTAGTTCAAATATTGTTATTCCCTTTTAGCAAATGGAGAACTGAGGTTTAGGAAGTCATGTCCATTGTCTCTTAGTTTCTATGGAATAGTAGTGACAGCTGTACTTTGGACAAGGATTTCAACTCTTCTGCCTTTACCTCAATGCCTACACAAATAAAATTAAGTCAGAGATACAAAAGGTTAATATTTTTGGAAGGTATCAAGTGTCTTACAGAAATAGAAATAAACAGTGAAACATAGATTACTTTAAATGTATTTTAATTGTTCTGGACAAATATTTATAATGGCAAAATAAGTAATAGCTTAAGTATTTGAGAATAAGATGGTTAAAGGAGTAATAGATTCATGTGGTAAAATGTTATAGCTATTAAAATTATAGTTCTGAATAACTCACAACACAATTGAATTAGGATATAAAATTATGTAAAGTGTAATTTCAACTATTTAAAATTAAATTTATTGTAAGAAATACTGGAGGAAATATACATAATATTAATAAATTTTTTAGTGATGTGATTTTTAATTATTTATTGGTTCCTTTTCTGTGGAAGGCTTTGTATTTGATCCTCAATTCTGAAGCTTACTTTTGTGGACTGTGGTATTCTTTCTTGGCATCCATTTTCTTGCAGATCTTAGTAAAAGTCTAAGACTTCCTAGCTTTCAGGGTCTGGGTTGAGAAATCAACTGAGATCTGGATTGGTTTATCTCTAAATGTAACCTATATTTTTTCTATAGCATGTTTTAAAATTTTGCCCTTATTCTGTATGTTAGGCATTTTCATAATAATGTGACTTGGGTTTGGTCTGTTGTAATTTTGTAAATTTGGAGTCCTCTATGCCTCCTGTATTTGATTTTACCACTTATTCTTAAAGTTTGGGAAATTATCTCATATTATTTCATTGAAAAGATTTTGTATTTCTTTCATTTATATTTCAGAGGATAGAAATAAATATGTATATGAATAAAAGTCCATGAACCCTTTAGTACATATTCAAAACAAGAAAATCTTGATGAAAAATTAAGGAGTAGTTTCCTTTGTGATGGACAAAATAATCAATGAGAATATATACATGTTATCTGTTTCTGACTTTCTTCTTTCCTTTCTTTTTTTTTAAAAATTTGTTCTTTTCAGTTATACTTGACAGTAGAGTATATTTTGACATATTTATATAGACATGGAGTATATATTATTCTAATTAGGATCCCAGTCTTGTGGTTGTACATGATGTGGGGATTCACTGTGGTGTATTTATATATGTACATAAAAAAGATTCATTACACTATCTTTCCTATTTCTTTTCCACACTCCTTCCCTTCATTCCCCTTTAGACAAATCTACTTCGGTCTAATCTACTGAACTTCTGTTCTTCTCTAATCCCCCCTTGTTATGTATTCATATTTACATATCAGAGAGAACATTGGCCTTTGGTTTTTAGGATTGGCTTATTTCACTTAGCATGATAGTCTCCAGATCCATCCATTTTCTGGCAGATATCATACAGTCATTCTTCTTTATGACTGAGTAATATTCCATTGTGTATACATACCATGTTTTCTTTATCCATTCATCTGTTGAAGGGCATCTAGGTTGGTTCCATAGCTTATCTATTGTGAATTGAACTTCTATAAACATTGATGTGGCTGCATCAATGTAGTATTCTGTTTTTAAGTACTTTGGGTATATATTAAGGAGTGAGATACTGGGTAAAATAGTGGTTCCATTTCTGGTTTTCTGAGGAATCTCTATACTGCTTTCCAGAGTAGTTGTACCAATCTGCAGTCCCACCAACAATGCATGAGTGTACTTTTCCCCCCCAACATCCTCACCAGCATTTATTGTTACTTGTATTCTTGATTATTGCCATTCTGACTGGAGTGAGATAAAATCTCAGTGTAGTTTTAATTTTCATTTCTGTAATTGCTAGAAATGTTGAACTTTTTTAAAAAAATATATTTGTTGACCATATATCTTCTTTTTCGAAGTGTCTGTTGATTGGGTTATTTGGGGTTTTTTGGTGCTTTTTAGAGTTCTTTGTTTATCCTGGAAATTAATGCCTTAACTGAGGTACAAGTGGGAAAATTTTCTCCCATTCTCTAGGCTCTCTCTTCATATTCTTTATTGCTTCCTTTGCTGTGAAGAAGCTGTTTAGTTTGATACCATCTCATTTATTAATTTTTTAATTTTATTTCTTGTACTCTAGGAACCATGTTGAGGAAGTCGGGTTCTAAGCCGACATGAGGGAGTGTTGTGCCTATGTTTTTTCTAAGAGGTGTAGGTTTTCTTGTCTAACCTCTAGGTCTTTGAACCACTTTGATTTGAGTTTTGGTAACTTTCTTTTTCTTTCTTCTTGAGGTATGTACTGAATGAAAGGGTAGGGGCCCCAGGCTGTCAAATCTTTTCTTTTTATTGTGTTGCTCACCAAGATGCCAGTTGGAGTTTGAAACTTCTCAGCTTCCCTCTGGGCTGTGTGATGTAGGATGATATGGGAAGTACTGTCAGCTCCATTCCCAGGGTGAAGTCATTGCTAAGTTCTGTGAGAGGAGTTCCTGTAGATTGAGCTCCCAGGGGCAGGGCTTAGGTCTAGTGAGGCCCCAGGTGCTTTATGCATGGCCAGTTGTCTGGAGGTATTAAATATACACATGTCTAGAGCCCAGCGGTTGCTGATCTATGCTGAGAGACTACCTCAGGAGCCTCCCCAGGGTTCCACTCCTGGGACACTGGAGACAGTCCTTTGCCACTTCTGTTGTTTCTCCTAGGCTCAGACCCTGATCATGCAGTCACACCCCGCAGGTTCAAATTCCCAACCCCTCCTAGGACCAGCTGCAGGACTCACAGGGGTTAGGGTGCTGGGCTCTCCCTAGCCTCCCTGACTTGTATTTCCCCAGCAAAATGCTCTCTATGCCTGCTTTTCTCCAGATTTGGTAGACACAGACTAGGTCAGGCGGCTGTTGTCTGCTAAGACTATGTATTGGACCCAGCCCCAAACTCCTGGATAGGACACCTGAGCTCCCAGGTCCAAGTTAATGGTTCCTGTTGGTGCTGGCAGTGTGGTGGCCTCAAAGCGGATCCTGCCTCAGCTGTCAGTGAACACGGGTTTATTGTGCTGAACAGCCTCTGAATTGGCCTAGGGCAAGCTTCCCCTCCACTCTCAGGTTTTTCCACACTTAAGACCATCCATTTCTCAGCTTTTTCCATCTTTGTGTGCTAATTCTCCTGCAAGCAGCTTAGCTCTAACTTTGTCCCTTTTCCTTGTTTAATATACCCGACATTTCTAAGTCGTTAGGGCACTCTAACTGGTCCAGTATTGAGTTTTAATGAAATCTCTCTTTTACCCGTCTTGCTGGAGCAGTATTTCTGCTGCTCAAATCCCAGGTCACAGGGCTAGAGAAATGCTGCTTCACCCTAGTTCACCGTCTTGGATCCTGATTGTTATTTTTATTATTTTTAATGTTTTTCTGTTTCTTCACAGTTTTCTCTAAGGTGGTTAATACTTTATAAAATGCAAAAAAGTGATTAAAGTATTTTATTATGAATTGAAAAGGAATTGTCATTGATCCCAAATACATTTGTATTTAATAATTGTTAGATTTTGTAACGTCCTCATATCTATTTTCTTTTAAGTACCTGCATTTTGCTAATTCAAACAGGTTTATTCGAAACCAGCAAAGGCTTTTGGAGCAACATACGAACCAGATGGAAGCCACCAATGTAAGTAATTACAAATGTTATAAAATAAATAATTGAATGTTTTTCCAATTGTACAGTAAGAAGCCAGGCTTACATAAAACAGATCTTTATAAAGAGGAGACATGCACTGACAATTTGAAGTAGTTTGATGGGGTCTAGGTATTTGTATTAAATACAAGTTCATGAGAAGAGTCCGAAGTTAAACAGAAATCCATGTGGATGGTGAGGTGTTACTCACCATGGCTACTCAGTGAATGGAGGCTTCTTCCTTCAGTGCATCCAAATGGGGTTCTTCTGTCTCCAGTAGAGATTCTGAGATGGAAAAGCCACAATAAATTACATGACATATTTTTCTAAATGGCATTTTTGCTTGCCTTATTTTCAGACCACCAGTGAGCCCTCCGCTCCATCTTGTGAGCTCCTGGATTTAAGTCCCAGCACCCTGATGTCAATGGCCACTCAAGGAGAACTCAGCAACGTGAATTCTCAGCTTTCAAACTTAAGTAAATAAGCAGTTGGGCCTTTTCAGATCAGCAGAAGAGCTTGATGTGAAACATTTCTCCTTGATTTCATGATTAAATGGCTCCTGAGAAGGACTGAAGTCAGTGTGAATATCAGAGAACTGTATCAGCAGATGCAGTTACTTCCTGGCAAATGATTGGGTCAAACCCAGTATAGGAAGGGAATATGTCTTGGGGAGGAGGTCTTGGAAATTCATCCCACTGGCTTAGAATCTCAAGGAATTCACCTGGCCTGCTTGGTAGAGGTGTCCAGCTCAGTAGCCAGTATTTAAATCTCTTCTGAATCCACACAGTATTATCGTTGGGTTTCTCTGCTGTACCGCAGCACCAGGTAAGGTAATATTTGATGCAGACAGGAAATTCAGGAATTACAAGGCATGATTCATGTGATTGTGAAATGAGGAGGGAAAAACAGGTTAGAGACAGAAGTCCAAGTTCAAATCCCAATTCTGCCACCTCTTAGTCACTTGACCTTTGACACATTCTTCCTTTAAAAAAAAAAAAAGGTAAAAATGGTTGCCTTAAAGGGTTGTGTGAGGGTAAATGAAATAACGTTTGCAAGATATATTTGTAAGCTTGGGGCTACCTGTCTTATCTAGCTTATTTGTTGTCCTCTGTGATCCTTATTCTCAAGTATTCGTAAATTATGAAAATAAGGATGGTGAAAAAAATACTACAAAATCAGTTCATTTTCCTCTTACATTATCTTGTGTTTCTAATGCAGAGATATTCGGTACCCCAGAATTAGTGGTTTTCTTATAACTCACTTCATTTCTAAAATATTGGCTGTCTGCTTATATAGGCCAGGATGATGTGTGGAATCACTTGCATTAGAGAATTTTGTTGGGTTTTGATCAGGAATTTTCCAGAGGGGAGAGTAATTATTCCTATTAGGGAGTCTCAACATTATAGGAAGAACTTAGAGGTGAGGATTGAGCTCCATATAAACCGTAAAATTTTTCTATGAGATGGGCAGAGCAAGTCATATAAAATCCTTTTCATTCTAGAACAGCATGAGATGGCAGAAAACTCAGTAAATGATATTTGTTCCCTTCCTACCCCCTTTTTGTGGCAGGAAATGTCTCTCTGTCATCTCCCTCTCACAAATGTTGCTTTTAAATCTCTTTTAAAGGAAATTCTGTGATTTTTGTGGTGACAGAAATATCTAAATCTCTTTGAATTTTTTTTTTTAAACTGTGGAAAATCTGGCAAGTGATTGAAAAAGGGTTTCAAAAACCAAAGAAGTTCATTTTGTGTTTCTAGGTTTCAGCTCTCCAAGTCCTATTGTAAGAAACAACTTGAATCCCAGTCTTCATTCAAATGTGGATTTGCTAGCCTCGGAAAATACAGAATCGCCCCTGTAAGTATGTCAGTAACACCACAGAGCTAGTACTGAGACATTCTTATCCTTACATTTAAGAAAACATGGCATGATCAAAAGAAGTAGAGAATTAAGAATCAGACAGACTGCAGTTAGATTCTCAGCATTGCTTCCTATGAGACTTAGGGCCTAGGATGACATATTTAGCCACTGTGAATCTTCCTTTTTTCCTCAGAATACTTCTAGTGTCTTACAAAGATCTATGAGATGTTACATGTAAAACTCCTAATGTGGAATTTGGTACATAATAAGCCTTCAATAAATTGTCTCTGTTTTTCTGTTTGTCTTTTTAGTGATAACAGGAGATGAGGGAAAATGGGCAATATGATAGAGGAGGAGGAAGAGAAATGAGTTTCAGGATTGTTAAGGGTAATAGCCACACTGGTCTCTTGACATGCCTGGCACATATCAAGCACTCCATGTTTTTTTTGGTTTTGTTTCTTTCATGTAATCTTTGCAGAAGTTCTCTGGCCAGTGCTGTAATCATTTTATGTCTTTTGTTCAGGACCTGAGACATAGGGACTAGAACTTGCCAAAATTCACATAGTCAGTAAGGAGCAAGTCTGAATGATAGAGCAACAAAAAGAAATTTGGTTGGACCATAAACACATAAAATGATATTCAGATTTACTTAGGGAAACATAAGATAAAACTCCAAGACGTTGTGTTTTTAACCTGTCAGATTGGCAAAAATCCAAATATTTGTTAATAGGCTTTGTTGAAATGGAAAGACAGACACTATTACAAAATTATGCAGTCCTTATGAAGAGCAAGTGATGGTATGTATTAAAAATAGTGCATTTAGCTTTGAACCTTCAGTCTTATTTCTAGGAATTGGTGCTGCATTCATACAAAATTAGGTGTTTATAAAATTATTCTTTACAACATTTTTGGCAATAGTGAATAAATGGATACAACTCAGGTATCTATTAGTTGGAAGCTTGTTAAATAAACATCTATTTAATGTATTATTAAACAGCTAGGGGGAGAAAGTAGGCTTTCTGTGTGAGAGACCAGTAACCAGTATATGAACTGTGAAGTGGAAAAAAAGATGCAAAATAATGTTTGTACGCTGTATTGCAGTTAATGTAGGAAACTGGGGGAAAATATACATGTATATGCCTGTACTTTCATAGGTAATACAAGAAGGAGACAGAAGAAACTAAAAAGAGTGGTGATTTAATTTAAGGGAAAGGCAAGATATAGTAAATAGAATGAAAAATGAACAGAAGTTGAATTTGCCTTATGATCAGGCTGATGTTCTCTTTTTTCTCCTTTTAAATATATATAGTTTAGGTCATAGGCAATGCGTTTCCATGAGTCACATCAAAACAACCTACACTTAAAAAAGACAATTCTTTTTGTTCATCTATTTATTTATTTATTTTAAATTATAATTGTTATAAATGACAATAAAATGTATTTCAGTTCATATTACACATACAGAGCACAATTTTTCATATCTCTGGTTGTATACAAAGTATATTCACACCATTCCTGTTTTCATACATGTACTTAGGGTAATGATGTCCATCTCATTCCACCATCTTTTCTGTCCCCGTGCCCCCTCCCTTCCCCTCACAAAATTCTTGATCTCATCCCCAGTTCATCCTTCCTCCCTGGTACCACACTCTGTTCCCATCTGGGTAATCACTTTGTTAGGTTTTTATTTATCCTTCCAAAGTGTCTTTAGGTAAATATAAATATGTATTTTTTTCCTTTTTAAAATTAAATGTAGCTTATTATTATACTTTTCTGAACTTTGCTTTTTTCATTAACTTACCAATATATTTTGACAGTTTTTCTATCAATGAATTCAGGTTGTTTTTTTTTTTTTTTTAAGTTGCCCATTGTCTTGTTAAACATTATTTGTATCCTCAGTCACTGAATTATTTTTCTATATTTAAAAATGGGAGGGCCATGAGGACAAGAATGAAAAAATAAACAAACTTGGAATAAAAAAGAGCAAAGAACAGAAGTGTATAGAGCTATTATATATATGATTATATAAAGAAGAAGAGGTGAAAGGAAAGGTTCATGTATTGAGAAATCATGTGTATCTGTGGCCATCTCATGCACCACTTTATTGGTCAGTGCCTCAGGTTGGCAACATGAGGTCCTAACTGCATGCAGTGCAAGTAAATGTTGAAATGTTCTAGGCAGATTTCTAGTGAAATTGTTTAATAATGTGGTCTAGAATAGCTGATTGTTTTCCTGTTATCTTTTTGATCTTGGTGGGTAATAGTAGAATGAGTAATACAGACAAAGTTGTATTTCAGCATGTATCTCCATAAAACTCATTAAAAACCAAATGCTAGCAAATAGCTATTTTAGTCTGTGACCCAGTAGATCTTATACTTTAGTATGTATAAAAAAATCACCTGGTGACTGTTAAAAAGTGAAATTGGTAGCCACCAGAAATTCTGATTCAATAGTGAGAATTTTTAGTTTTAACAAGCATCCTAGGAGAATGAATTACAAAGCAGTGGTTTTTTAGTCATATATTGAGAGACCCTATTATGGGTCTCTATCCCAGGATCCAGATATAATAATTTTTAAGAGTTTTTGAAATTCACTAGAATGAAAGATAATCTGTGGCAACTGTTACTTTTTGTTTTCTAGACAATCCTTTGTACCTATATTTTTCAAACTTTCCAAAAATCTTCTAGATGAATCAAATTATAATTAGACCAAACTTATAATTAGACCAGTGTCAGAAATCGAAACATTAAAGTTGATTAGGACATTAAAGTTGATCTGGACTAAACCATATGCCTCAGACCAAATACAACAAGAAGAATGAGCCATTAAAATGTCTTATGGTCTTGTCATTTGTCAACCACTCTGTAGGTTAACTGGTTCAGCATCACAGAATAATTATGTGATGCAGTTATTTTTAACCAAAAGGATCCTTGAAACACAATGACAATTTGATAGTCATTAAGTCATATTTATAGCCCACTTACTATCAGGTAACAGGCTGAGAACTGTAAGAAATGCTTTCTTATGACTTATTAATGCTCCCAATAAGCTGTGAGAAGTACCACCATCATTCTTACCTTACCAATGAGGAAACCAAGGCCAAAAGAAAGTTTTAACTTTGTATTGGTTGCCCAGTTAGTGCTGAAACAGATTCAAATTTAAACAGTACCTGCTCTATATTTTCTCTTGCATTTTAATTTTGCTTTAAGAAATTTACTTTTTTTTTTTTTTTTTTTTTTTAGTTTGGTGAATTAGATTAGATTAGATATGATTAGACTCACATAACCACCATAGTCAGGATACAGAGTGGTCCAACACCGCCCCCTCCTGTCCCCACAAAAAAAAAAACACTCTTGTGCTATTTTATTCTTTTATAATCACATCTTCCTGGCCCTAACCCTAAACTCCTAGCAACCACCAGTCTGTTCTCTATCACTACATTTTATCTTTAAAAATGACATCTAAATAGAATCATATGTATCTTTCTTGAAGAGACTGTAAATTTGGCATTTGCTTCATGTCATTTGAAACTCTGTCATTAAGTACATATTCACTTAGGAATAGAATGTCTTCATAGCAGATTGGCCCTGCATCATTATGTAATTCCCCTCTCTGTTCCCCATAATTTTCCTTGCCATATTTATTTTAGTACTAATATTCCTGTTTTCTTTGGATTAGTATTTGTATGGTATCTTTTCCCATTTTTTTACTTAACCTATATCAAAATATTTGTAGTTTATGGTTAGGTAGCACATAGTTGGGTCATGCATTTTTATGTATTCTCACTATTTCTGTTTTTAATTGATGTATTTAGACCATTTACATTTAATGTAATTCTCTGTTGAATTCATTGTTTAATTTGTTTTCTGACTCTTTTTTCCCTATTTCTTCTTTTGGATTATGAGAATGTTTGTTGTATTCCATTTTAATTTATCTATTGTGATTTTTGGTTATATCTTTGGTGTGTATGTGTGAGAGAGAGAATGGGGGTACTTAGGTGATCACAATATATTTATAGTTTGTCAGTCTACTTAACTAGTGTAGAAAACTTATCACTATTTAAGTCCTGCTTTATGTAATCATATGTATAATAACTCTAAACATTGGGGGAAAATATCAAAGGACCATGTTATATCTTTTGCTTACAACCTTCAAATATATTTTGAAGAACTCAAGAAAATAGTCTATTATTATTCAATAGTTACCATTTCTATTGCTCATCTTTTCTCTGGTGTAACATACCCTCTCTCTGAAGTTCTCTTGGCAATTCTTTTTATAGAAGGTATATCCCCAGCAAAGTTTTACTTTAATGGAGAATGTTTTTATTTCATCTTTGTTCCTGAAGGGTAGTCTTACTGATTGTGGATTCTGGGTTCACAGTTTTTTTTTTCTTTCAGCAGTTGTAAAAGGTTGTCACTCTCTCTTTTGGCCTACATGGTTTCTAGTAAGAAACCTACATTGATTTGAATAGTCATTTCTCTATACATAATGTGTTCTGTTCTCTGCATACTTTAAATATTTTTTCTTTTTAAATTTTGAGTGTTTGTGATGTCTATACTTGATTTCTTTTTGTTTGGGGGGATTGGGAGAATGTATTAATAGTTTCCTATGGCTGCCATAACAAAGTACCACAAATGGGTGGTTTAAAACCACAAGTATTCATTCTCTCATAGTTTTGGAAACAGGAAGTCTGAAATTCAGTCCCTTATGGACTCTTAGGGTAGAATCTGTTCTCTGCCTCTTCCAAATTCTGGTGGCTTGGCATTCCTTGGCTTGACTGGTTTATTACCATGTCACTCGTTTCTGTTTCCACCCTAACCTGGCCTTCTCTGTATGTCTCAAATCTCCCTCTGCTTTTCTCTTTTAAGATCATTTGTCACTGGATTTAGAATCCAGCCAGCTATGATAATCCACATCTTAAGATCCTTAATTTAATTATGTTTGTAGGGACCCTTTTTTCTAATGAGATAACATTCTCAGATTCTGGGGATTGTGATTTAAACATGTCTTTTGGGGGACTTCATTTAATATACTACACAGAACTTCTTGAATCTGTGGGTTTTGTCTTTCAACAAACTTGTGAAATTTTCAGCCTGTACAGAATCTTCAGATAGTTTTTTTCCCTTTCAACACTACATAGTTTCTGCTTTCCTGTTAGGACTCTGAGGACATAATTGTTGCAGCTGTATCATTATCTCATAGGTGTTTGGGGTTCAGTTTAATTACTCTTTTCACTTTTTTTCCCTTTATATTCAGATTAGATAATTTCTGTGATCTCTGTTCAAGTTTACTCTTACCTCTTTTATCTCTTTTTTGTACTAGGGACAGAATTGAACCTAGGGAGCGCTTAATCACTGAGTCACATCCCTAGTCCTCTCTCCCCCTTTTGTTTTTTTGAGACTTGATAGGTTGCTGAGACTGGCTTTGAACTTGCAATTCTCCTGCTTCAGACTCCCTAGCTGCTGGGATTACAGATTTTCGCCACTATACCCAGCTCCTCCCTCATCTCTATTTTGCTATTGAGCTCATTAGAAAACTTTTTAAAATTTCATTTATTGAATTTTTCAACTTTAAAATCTTCTTTTGGCGCGCGCTTATGCGCGCTCTCTGTCTCTCTCTCTCATATATCTTTTTTTCTTTTTTTGGCTGAGACTTTTCTGTTTTTCTCAAGTGTGTTCCCAATTGCATCTTAGAGTATTTACATAATAACTGGTTTAAAATCTCTTGGAGATGATTCCAATATCTAGGTCCTCTTGATATCCATGCCTGTTGATTTTCTTCTTAATGCAAGTTGAAATTTTCCATTACCTAGTAATTTGGGGTTATATCTTGGCTTTTTTTTTTTTTTTTTTGCGGTGCTGGGCATTGAACTCGGGACCTCACACGTGCAAGGCAAGCACTCTCCTGAGCTATATCCTTAACTCCTTATTTTATTTTGAAACAGATCTAAGTTTCTGAGTCTGGCCTTGAACTTGTTGTAATCCTCCTCCATCAGCTTTCTGAGTAGCTAAGGTTATAGGTATGTGCCACTGAGCTTCATGTTCTTGGGTATTACTAACAATTTATTATGAGATGTGTGGTCTTAATTAAATCTTGTCCAGAATTTTGATATTTTAATTTTAAAAGGCAAACAACTTGGTTAGATTTAAAGCACAATTTTAGCCTGCCCATTGGCTGTGGTCCCAGTGTCAACCAAGTTTTCTAAATCTTTGTCGTGCTACTCAGATCTGTCTTGCCTATGTACCAATCTAAGGTCTAGATAGCAGGTTGTGTGCTCAGTTCTCAACTTTCTCGACATCCTGATTGATACCAGATCCATGGGTGTGATGAAGTAGGTCGCGTTTCATAAGCAACTTTGAGATTGTTTTCCTGAATTCTTCTATCCCTCTGATTTCTCTGGTGCTTCCTGGTTTCCTGGGGCTCCCCTCTCAACTTTCCAGTCACAAAGCTGCTGTCATTATTATACCATGCATTTCTTCAGCTATGTGTATGTCTGAGACTACATGGCAAGGCCAAATGGAAGAAAGAAAATGGGTTTTTCCGTGTCCCCTTGGGGTCACAGCTCTACTTATAAAAGGGGAAAATGTTTTTCATTCAGAGTTTTATCTCTGTGTTGCCTCTGCTGTTACTGCAGCCACCTTGGGGTTACCTGTGGCTTTGGATGTGAACAGAGATAAAAAATAAGAAAGGGGTTAAATTTCTGTTCTCTATGAGTGTAATTTCTTTTGCCTGCTCTTGATAAAATGGGTTTTCTCGTGAAGCTCTGTCCTCACTGATGCTCACATTTGGGGCTGCATTGCATTCAGGTGACTGAACACAAAAAATGATAAATTCACCACAGTTCAGCAATGTTTGAATTCATGTTTGCATTCAGGGGGACAATGGGAGGAAAATGTGTTTGTTCCCCCTTAACCAGAATTGGAATCCTCACCTACCTTCTTAACCTCTACTCCACCCACTTCTAATCCTTCACAAGGAGATGGGATGGTAGCTACTCTGACAGAAAGACCGAAGGCTCCGTTCTTAGTGATGTGTGCTTCACACTCAGGTTTTGGGACCATACTGCAAAGGGACAATGCTTTGTGTCTTTGCTGTCCTTGATATTTAGGCATCATAATTTGGAAGGCACTGAAACCTGAAGGCAATTGTTATAGTAAAATACCACTTACGTGTTATCAGTAGGTACATGATAGTTTTGTGTTTAGACCAGGAAAATCATCTTACTTTTTGCATTTGTGTTCTCACTGTAGGGTAATCATGCTGTGTTATCACACTATCCTAGGTTTGCCCAAAGGACACGCCAAAACCACGCCTCAAGTCACACATATGATAATGTAAGTAACAAGACCCTTTTGTGGCACCACACTAGTCAGCAGAGTATTGTGGCCAAAAAGAACTCTTGGTCATTAACTTCCCTATTCTGTTCAGCATTTCTTTACACTGTGTTGATGTAGCTGTTGTTAGGATTTTTAATTTCCTTTAAAATTTTTCTAAGATAGGCAAGTTATCACGCTCCTGTTAGAGAAATGGTTAAAGATGTAATTCCTGGCAGAGATGTAGCTCAGGGGACATGCTTGCCTAGCATGCAAAGACCTGGGTTTGAATCCCAGCACTGAAGAAAACAACAACAAAAAAAAAAAACTGTAATTCTCAGTCTTTATCTTGCCTGATTTATTAGTAGCATGTGATGATGTTGATCACTTCCTTCATTTTGCAACGTGGCTTTCAGACAACACTCACTTTTAATTCTTCTGTTGCATCACTTCCATTTCTTCTCTTTTGCTGGCATTTCTTCCTCTCTTGGCCTTTTCATATTGGAAACATCAGGCTTAGGCTAATGATTTTTCTGTTGACATTAATTCCTCCAAGGTCTTTTACTTGAAATAACCACTCAAGTTTTGACAACCTACAAGTTCATATCTCCAGCCCAGACTTTTCCCTAAATGTAGAACTCATGTATCTACTTTCCACTTAACAACACCTCTTTATTTCTTCTCAGTCCCTGCTCTTTTTACACACTTGCCATCTCAGTAAATGGCTACTCCACTCCTAGTTGTAAAGGGAGAAAACCTTGAGGAAATAGTGCTTGACCTCTAACTTTTTACCTTTTATCTTCAAAAATATGTCCATTATCCAGCCATTTCTCGCTACCTCTACTTCTGTTCCTCAGTCGAAGCCTCCTTCAGAAGGATGCTGCAGTGGCTACTTAAGGATTGACATTTGCCTCCCTGCACTTCCTCCCACCCTCACCCCACCTCACACCTCACAATCTAGACCTAAAACAAAAAACAGAGCAGTCCTTTTTTTAAAAAAAGTCAAGTCATATCACTATCTGTTCAAAGCTCACTTAGGATTTTTCTTCCTCCCTCCATTTTGCCCAATAAGTCTGTGATGCTGATATGACCCTCCAGCTTACCTCTTGCCTCCCCACCTTGGCCCACTCTTCTCCAACCATATTGGCCTCCTTCAGAGTCCGTGAGCTCATATCCTTTTTGATAATCATTCCAGTCAGGGTTTTGCTTGAATGTCCCCAGGGTCGGAAATCCGCTGACCATGGCCTGAATCCCACCATAGCCTCCTCTTCCCATTACCCTGTTTTTTACTGTAGCATATGCCATCTGACATGGATTTACATTTGGTTATTATCTGCTGCCTGAGGTTGGGGACTTGGCCTTTTTTTCTTTTTTTATTAATAGTGCATGGTAGCTAATAAGTATCCAGGACACATTTGTGGAATGAATGAGAAAATTACGAAGATACGTTTCTAATTCAGAGTTCAATCTTTATCCTATCACTCCTGGTTTGATAGCATCACTGTGTGCCTTTCTGTAGCTGTGAGACTTTATTTTTCTTTCCCATTCAAAGCTGAGATTTATATTCAGGGCAAAACAACAGAGAATCTAGACTGAGTCAGTCAATACAGCTTGTTTTATGAAGGCAATAATTTTTAAACATTTCATATTTTTTGTGGAAATGGAGTGCAATGAGCATGAAAACAGACAGAAAAGTAATAAATCTTGTAAGTGGTAATTCCTTAGAAACTGAAGTAATAGTTAAATATTACTAGTATTTATCCAGCTGAGTATACATGGTTCTTGGAACACTGTCCCTAGGAAACTTAAGGCTTAATGAGTTAAAACAAACCAAACCAAAAAAAGCCTAATGTGGAGTGTATGTTTGAACATGTTATGCTTTCTTCAGTTTCTAGAACACTCAAATCCAGTATTACTACAGCCAGTTAGCCTACAGACTGCCACAGTAACACCGTCAAACCAGACGCCACCCTCCTTGCCCAACAATCATCCAGGTACTTGAGACCTTGTAATTGCCATCATATAAGGAAACTTAAAGAGAATGTATGATATGTCAGAGATGTAAAGATAATTGAACATAGATAAAGGGGAGACATCAGAGTAGCTCATTGCATTTTTAAGCTATTTAAAGTAAATTCAGGGCTGTTACCATTATGCCTGACATTAGGAAATTATAAAAAGGCTTGTGTTAAATTGAATTTTTATGTAGAACACAAAGGCAAATAGACCTTTAGTTAAGGTTTGGAAATCTTTTATGGGTTTTTTTTTTTAACTGGGCAATTATTAAAACAATGGTCTGTTTTACTTTGGATTGTATTTATTAGAATCTTATATTTTAAGTCTAAGTTAAAACTGTTCAATATATTAATTATAAAAGAACATATGAGTACTACTCGACAAGCATGTGTGTTTAGGGTCTCTTTTTTCACCTACAGCAATGACAAAGAATGATCTCCAGCCACCCAATTACTATGAGGTAATGGAGTTTGATCCCTTAGCTCCTGCTGTCACTACAGAGTAAGTCATTTACAAAATGATTAATTTAGTTTGTCTTGGTTTCGTTTCATAGCAGAGCTAACAGCTTGGTTACACGTTTAACTTTGTTTAGGTCTTGACTGAAATTGATGGCCTTATTAAAATAGATTTATGAGGTTTTATGGTGGCTGTTGCTTGTAGAGATCTTTATCTCTCTCAGCCTTTTGACATAAAAATAAAAATGCTGGGCTGAACATCAATACACAACCAGAACCAACATGTGCATTCTTCCTAGATATCTTGGCAGAAAGGCAGATTCCCTCTCACTTGAGAGGGCACTCTTCACTGATGACATGATACAATAACAATGGGATATTTTAATTGTTCTTTGAGAACTAATCCGAAAGAAAACTAGTATATATGTAAGAACTTTTTAGTAGTCACTACACATGACAACAATGTACTTAAAATGTTTTGATAAGATATTTGTGTTAGCTTTCTGTTGCTGTGACAAAATACCTGATACAAACAACTTAAAGGGAGAAAAGGTACATTTTGGCTCATAGTTTTAGTCTGTGATCACTTGGCCTGATGGCTTTGGGGTCTATACTGAGAGAGTCCATCATGGCAGAATTGCATGGCAGACGATATTTGCTTACCCTCCCAGCAGCCAGGAAGCAGAGAGCATGCTTTTATAAGAAAGCCTCTGCCCCCCAAACCCTATAGGGTATGAATCCATCAATGGACTAATCCACTGATGAGGTCACTGCCCTGTCGCCTCTCAAAAGCTACACCTCTGAACACTCCTCCATTGAGGACTAAGTCTTGAATACATGAGCTTTTGGGGGCTATTTTAGATTCCAATCATAACATTATCAGTGTAAAACTTGCTTTTTCACTTGAAATTCTTAAAAGCACCAACCATTATTTTATGATTTCCTCCTGGTCAAGTGTATACATTTGTAGGATGGTAGATTTTTTAGAGCATAGTACCAGAGTGGAAAATAATTTTGTAGGAAAGATTAGTGAGTGCAAAATTATGATGTACATTGAGAGGATAAGTAGGTTGAGAACTGAAAACTAGATAATGGATTTAAGTAAATCATTGGTGATTTCAATGGAAATCATTGATTTTAATTAAAACCATTTTGGTGAGTTGATGGGGACAGAAGCCAGATTTCAGTGCATTAAAAAAGCAAGATGAAGTAGAGACAGGAAGTGCAAGAACCTAGGAAGAGATGGTAGGAAGTGGTTTGGCAATTAGAGGATTACTGAGGTGGTTACTGCAAGTGGACATAAGATGATAGACTGTGCGATGTCCCGTAAAATGGGAGACACCAGAGCATTTGTGAATACCAAGTATCTATACTAGTATAGAGGGTGAGGTTGAAGATTCAGGAAGGGAAGACAACTGTATGAAGTATTTAAGAAGCCAGATAGGATCATGGAAGTAGAGAATGGTGCAGATGACAACAGACTTAGGATTTAGTGATGGTAAGATGAGAAAGTTTTTTGATATTAAGACATATAATTTATTAAAAAGTACAGATTCTGGGCTGGGGTTGTGGCTCAGTGGTAAAGTGCTCACCTATCATGCATGAGGCACTGGGTTTGATCCTCAGCACCACATAAAAATAAAATAAAGGTATTGTGTCCACCTACAACTAAAAAATATACTTTACAGTTTCTTCCTGAGAGATCTGAAGATCAGAGATATAACAAGAGTGAAGGCTGAAATAATTTCTTAGAAAACGAAAGACAAAACTTTACAGAAACACAGTAAATCGCAGGACCATGCTGAGGCCTCATGAAGTGACTGATTTCATAGTGCTTCATTTTTAGACTTTCTGCAGCCATGTTTTACTCTCTCTATGAGTGTCATGTTTTAGGGTATTGATATTTCTAGTGAAAGACATGTAAAACATAAAGAAGTGAGGGATAGAAAAACTATTATATTAAAGGTTCAGAGATGATAATTACAAACTAAAGGATGCTTAGGAATCTGGATTATAAACATAGAAATTAAATGAGCTAGACATTAATATTTCTATTTTTTTTTTTTTACCCACAACCCAGGGGTGATCTACCACTGAGCATATCTCAGCTTTTTATTTTTCGAGACAGGGTCTTAACAGAGTTTCTCAGGCTGGCCTTGACATTGCAGTCCGCCTGATTCTGCTTCCAAGTTGTTGGGATTGCAGGCATATGCCTCCACACATGGTTACAACATTTTTTTCTTTAAGGGTTTAAATTAGAAGCTGAATGATTTTCTAAAAAAAAAAAAAAAGAAGAAGAAGAAGAAGAATGAGCCCAAATTTGAGCCATGTTTTTTCCTTTAAATCACAAGTAAAAATGATTTGGTCTTGAAAAGGCATGTACCCTTGAATTTAAGAAAGTTAGACTTCAAGCTTCAGGACAGATATCTTTGTTTTTATTCATTGATGCCTGACCTTCCCAAACAGCCCCAGATATTTAATTATGGTGCTGAAGTTTAAAAAGCAACATAATACTTTGAATTGATATATAACACTTTAACTGTGATAACTTTTTTTGTTTCAGAGCTATTTATGAAGAAATAGATGTTCATCCCCACAAAGGAGCTCGAAGTCATAGTGACTGTTGAGGTAAAAACTTCAATTACATTCCATATTCCATCTAATTTCAGTGTAACATCACCTTTTGCATTCAGTAGTTATATTTTGTAATGGCTGAGTTTTACGCTTATGGTTAATGAAATAACAGGAATTCCTCTGGATCATTCAAACTGTAAAGAACTGTTTTTCACTAAGGAAATACAATCTTTGTGATCTTGTCAGCAAAAAGCAATGAGACTTGGGAATGCAGGAGTTGGGTTTATGGGATTGAAATGTTAATGCTAAAAAAATTATTTGATCAATAGAAATTCCCTATCACTAAAATCAGGTGTTTGGCTTTAATGTGCAGTTAAAACCTGTTAACTGGTACCAAGAAAACCTATTCATTGTTAGTCCTCCAAATAGGTCTGGTTTTTCCCTATTTGTTGCATTAGTCATCCCACTTACTTCCTGATAAATGTCTGATTATCAGGTGCCTATTATATATTCCCGCCACACCATCCCCTACAGAAGTAGTAGGTTACCACCATTCCTCTATTTGACTGGCTCTTCTATCTCCCAGTAGAGAAAAGACAAAGAGTTATCAAGAAGTAAACAAGAGTTATCAAGGAGGGCAGGATGGAGAATGACCAATTTTCTTCTGTTTTAGGTTAAAGTGGATGATCAATCAGCTCATTAGCAGCAGAGGGGCTAGCTCTCTTAAAGGGTAGATCCTATCCAGCTTTGAGACCTGGAAGACAAGACCTACCAACATGTGAAAGCCACAGTGGACCATTTCTTCTCTGCTATAATGAAGTATAAACAGAAGAATAATAATTTCAGAGTAATATTCATGATTAATGACAACCAATCAAGATTTCAGTAGAATGTGGTTGTAGCAAATATTCACTTAAAACTTTGGAAGAACAATTACTTAGTCCTTAGGCCAACCAGTTTAATTGCAGTACCTTCTGTTGCCTACATCTTCCTATATATAGAAAACAAATAATCACACGGCTGTGATAAAAGTAGATAAAGATTGTTACTTTATTATTATTACTACAAAATAATTCTAAATAGATGTGAGAAACTAAATGTATTATTCAGGAAGAACATTTTGTGCCTTCACTTAACTAAAATTGAATGTAAGATAATTTGCACTTCTTTAAAAATAATTCTTTGATTCTTTATAATGCTAAATTATCTTCTATTGCCCCCTACCCTTTTTATTATAATTAATATTTCTATTTGGAACAAAGACTACTGGAAAACATTCAGAATAAATTGTGTATTCATTTACATAAATTACAATGACAAATAACTTAAAATAATTTATTATTATTATTTTTTTATACAGTTTTGATCCCAGAACTTCTATGTCAGTAATCTTCATAATCCCATCCTTCCCTTTTAACATTCAGGGGCTTGGAACTAAGAAAGTAAATGCAAGCAGTCTAATTAGATATATTACATTATATTACGTTTTATTTCAATTTCATAGTGTCACAATTTCAAAGTAATTCAATATTCAAATGTAAAATAGCCCTAGACCTTAAAGGGAAACTAAAGTCAAATTTGAAATAAGAATATAATCTTTGAGCCGTCTTAGGGCTTAGTGACTTCTCTTTCACCTTTGAATTTTTTTAAATAATGGCCATTCACACTGAAGGAAAATAGCTGTTTTGGAGATAAATAAACATGCTCCAAAGTTCTGTTCTATAGCCTGATACAGATAACTGTGCGCGTGTGGGCATGTGTGTGTGTGTGTGTGTGTGTGTATGAAGGGCCAATAATTTGAAAAGCAACTATAGAATTAAGCTGAACAATGATCAAGTTCATGCCTGCACATGTAAGAAACAAAGCAGTTTCTCTTCATATTATCACATTCTTAAATATGGTAGTGAACAGTCATACAGTCTATATAAACATGTGGGTTTCTTATGGTAAAAAGCTGAAACTGTTCTTTTATTTTTAAGTGGCATAAATTAGTTAACAAGAAAAAAATGCTCAAAACAGAAGGCTTCACTTCATCTCATTACAGAATATTTCTCTTCTGAGAAGGCAGGATACATGATTTCTCAAAAATCATAAATCCGAAGTAGGACTTGGTTGCTACTTCAATTATAGCCTGGAACTGGCAACTTGTGCCCTTCCTTTGCTTCAAAAAAGGTATAAGAAAGAGTGATAAGATCAACATTCACCATTCTTGGATCTTCAGCAAATTCAGGATCAATGTAAAAAAATACTGGCATATCTACTTCCTCTTGGGGGTTAAGCCTTTGTTCTTCAAAACAGAAGCACTAGAAATTATAGAAAGGTATTTGTTTAATAACATTTCTATTACCTGTAACAAAGGAATAGTCACTTCTTGACTTTTAAGTTCTATGATAGACTAATAGCATGTTTCAAGCTCAGATTGAGTTTTGTTTTAAGGACTGAAATTCTAATCTTAAAAGCAAAATATTAATTTGGTTTGACGATCAGTCTTTATATAGCAGTTTAAACAGAGAAGATAAAAGTAGCTTGAAGTCTATAAGAAACAGTTTTCAGAAATTATAAGTATCTACTAAAACATTATAGTAAGTTTCACACTAAACAGTTTCATGTACCTTTACTATATTCCTTGTTTGCACTGTTTACCTGTATTTTATTGAAATACTGTCCAGCTTCAAATGGTACAACATTGTATGTAGAAATTCCAATTATTGGTTTGTCAGTAGGATTCTTAGCTTTATAAAATGCCAGTGCAGTCTCTCCTGGTACTACCTGTTTTAAAGAACACACGTTATCAGTGCTTTAAATCTCACATACCTCCTTTTTTTCCCTACTAAATTACAATCCTTATTTTTGCTGTTCTTCAGACCACCACACCTGAGGTTCAGCAAAATAAATTGTGAATCTTACCCACAAACCTGAGTCTCAAATTTTATTTGCATGTCAATGAAGAATCAGTGTATTGTTAGGTATAATTAGTTATGTATTACCCTCAGATATATCTGAGATTTTCAAACAACAGTCTACAAATTATTCAAAAATACGTCCAAGGACAAGCCAACTATATCACAGCCCAAGCCTCACTTCTTTGTAACACTTAAACATGAATGTCATGATTATTTTTTTTAAATGATACTAACATTAAACTTACCTTGAATTAAATTATAATCAAAGTAAATTCAAATGAATAAAACCAAAAAATGCTAATGCATTGAAAATAGGGAAGCTTAAAATAAAAAATTTCGAAAAGATAGTCTTGTCTACTTGTACCAGTATACCATCTTGTACCTTGTTTTCTACCACATAAATGAACCAGTGCAAAATTATAACCTATGAAACCCTTAGTCATTGAAGATACTCAGTCAGGTTAACTAAACTGGACAAGTACTAATATTTAGAAGCGTTTTCCAATGAGGGTTGAAATTAAGTCTTTCTTGTTAATCCTCAATTGAGAGAATTTCAGTTAAAATCCTTGCAAGGTTGCAATTAGTTAACATTTAAGAAAGCTTTAAAGTATATGCTCTATTACATTAAGTACAAAGCACTATTAAAAAGTCATTTCAGCTGGGCATAGTGGTGCATGCCTATAATCCCAGTGACTCAGGAAGCTGATGCCAGCCTAGGCAACTCAGTGAGACTCTGTATCAGAATAAAAAATTAAAAAGAAATGGGGATGTAGCTTAGTGGTACAGGTTCTCTGGGTTCAAACCCAATACAAAGGAAAAAAAAAAGCAGTTATTTCAAAATACTAACAAATTCCATGAATAATTCCATTTCATGAAATATATTCCATGAATTATTCATGGAATCTGTATTTTTAAATTGAGTTTTGATAAGTCAGACAACTTAAGATTAAACGGTTTTTACATTGAAAAAAGAAATCTAATGATTGCTTTAGTTACTTACATATATTTCTGTTTGCTGAGGTCTAAAGTTCCACTGGAGCCTTGCATGCACATCTGCATTAAAGGTACCTTAATGATTCGATCCTTGACAGGCACCATGTTTTCAGTTTGGTCTGATGAATGACCTGCTACTGCTGAAATCTAATGACTGCTTTAGTTACTTACATATATTTCTGTTTGCTGAGGTCTAAAGTTCCACTGGAGACTTGCATGCACATCTGCATTAAAGGTAACCTTAATGATTCGATCCTTGACAGGCACCATGTTTTCAATTTGGTCTGATGAATGACCTGCTACTGCTGATCCTCCAAGTCCAGTAGTCTAGGAAAAAAGATACTAAATATGTTAAATAATACAGATGTTGGTCTATTTCTTGAACAAAGCAAAATTTTAAAAGCAATAATCCAGCTAGAGCCATGTTTAAATACTATCTCTGACCATTTCCTATAACTGCCAATGGTTTGCCCATTTTTAAGGTGTCAAAAGCCTATGTTAAAGTGATCCATATGGTATGTTTCAACAAAGTCGTGATTATCTGAATGATCAAAAGTGAATCCTTTGGGAAAAGTAGTTTCTTTGAATTAAAAAAACTATTATCTATTATCACAGAAAATAGAGCACAGAATTTCCAGATTAGCCTTTTATTAAACATACTTCCCTTTATTATCTTGTACTCACTAGAATAAAATTTACCCCAAACCTGGTCATTTCAATGAAAATACTTATTATTTCCACTTTTCCATGTTTCTTTCTGGTTCTTTTCCATATCAAAATTACACTGTAGTTTTATTTCCATATACTGCTTTTCTACAGCATTTTAAGTATTTTTCCATGCCAGTTAAAGTTTTTGTATGGTTTACTTCTTCTCATGATATAACTTTTGTAGATGTCACTAGTTAACTAGAGGACATGATGTCTTTGGCCATTGAATCAGCCTATCACAGGGCATGTATCTGACATTTCTTGTTTAACTTCATTGGCATTGATTATTTTCTTGTTTGACTTTATTACTTTCTCATATGCTTAAAAAAAAAAAAAAAAAAAAAGTCCTTGCATCCCTGGTTGTCATTCTTCTGATGCTTGAGGTTATCAGAATTTTGGTTTCCAGATAATTTACCTTTTACTGTACTATATTGGAAACATAACAAAACAAAATTTCAGGTTAGGGGTAGATTCCCAGCAAGATATAATATTACTATCTTCTGCTACTTATAGTCACCTAGCTTCATTTAACTTCCATGTGACATTATCAAATTGCACTATAATAAAAAAAGAAGCATCAGAGGGCAAGTCATTATCCTTGCTTAACAGATAAGTATATTCTTCTGCCTAATAATAATATTTGAGTTTTGAGATGTAACTTCTTTTCCTAAGAGTCACTTTAATTTGTCCTCCCTCAATATAAGATTCCTTAATATACTTTTTGAACACAGATTCTTCAAAATTTCTAAGTTCAGTGTTTAATATACACACAATTAAAAAGCATTGAAAAGATGTACTGAGCTCAGGTCTAGTTTTGCAACTTATTGAATAAATCTTATTTTCTTTGGATTACATTTTACATGCTCATAAAATGAGGACACTGTTAAGTGGTTTGTATAATCCCTTATTTCTGGTTATAAAATTTTTGTGATTCCAGAAGTAACAGAAGATGTTCATCACATATCACTGTTTAACATCCAACCTGATTTTAGGATTACAATATTTTTCACCTTTCTGCCCTACCATTCCAAGTGAAGACAGACAGACACATATACAATATTCTCAACTGTTTGGAGCAGGGTTTCTTAACCAGTACTGATATTTGGGGGTGGATAATTTTGGGGGGAAAGTGAGGGTGTCCTGTGCACTGTTGGATATTTGGCAGCATCTCTAGCCTCTACCCACTTGTATGCCAGTACCACTCAACCCGATATCACCCCAGGTTGTAACAAACAGGTCTTCAAACATTGCTAACAGTTCCCTGGGGGGACAAAAATCACTCCCTTCCAGCCAATGATGGTTTTTAGGAGGATCTACACTTGACCTGGATTTGGTTCTTCTAATGAACTAATCAGGTGATA